GTTGTACGGTGCCGGCATTAGTGATATCCTGAAAGAGCGGGTGGAGGAGAGTGGGACGCCCCTCCGGCTGTACCACGATCTGAGTGCGGGCCAGCTCGACCGGAAACGGCGGCTAAGGGGGGCGTATGATTCGTTCCTTGAGGCCCAAATCCGAGTGGTCTGGAGGCGGGGCTACCGCCTCTTCGCTTTGCTTGAGGGGGTGTGGGTGGAGTTCTACCCACAATCGGCCCTTGTACATTAGGTACTTGGGCCTGCTGAAATTTTTGTGCATTTTGGGGTGTGTTTTCAGTTATTTTGCTTCCGGGTTTCGTTCTGGGTCATGGTGCGTATCTTTTGGGTTTCCAGTTTGTTTGCAAATTGTTGGTTAGGGGCTCTCTTTCTGCGATATTTTCCTGGCAATTCTGTTTGGTGGCTGGGTTAGTACTTGAAGTTTGGACACTTTGCTAATTCGCTGGACACTAGACTTTGACACTCGCTACGATGAACAGTGGACTTTTCTTGTGCTGTCCCAGGGCTCCCCCTATAGCTCCCATTCTGTATGAGGAAAAGGGGGATTTTAACCCTGCATGCCTATGTAATTGACATTTGACACTCAGAACGGCAGACTGAACTCATACTTCACACAGGCACAATATGCTACCCCACAGCACCAACCCATGTCTTCGACCCTCAGTACCAAGCCACAGCTCCAGCCCACAGTACCAACTGACGATCACCAAAATTGGTAAGATTGAAGCTAATTGTTGGCCAACTGCCCTCCCGCCTTCTCAATCAGGCCAATGTCTGCACCAATCAGCCAACACATGAACAGATGCCTGCACAACATGGCAGCTGCGGCTGTCTTGTTGTGTCAAATTTTTATCTCTTCAAACAACCGCTTTAATCTGTATTCATTTCTTTCATTGAGTTCCACTATACAGTAGTGCTCAGCCACCCAACCCCAGTCATGAGAACTGAAAAGTTGCATGTGAAACATGGGCAAAAGTTGACAGCCATTCAAAGATAATGTTGATGGCATTTCTCAAAACGGGATTTTCGTATGCCACCATTTAATCATCGGGTTACGAATCAGTAATTGACGGAGGCAGATCAGCGGTCAATTACTGGTAATTCGATCGTGGTCTATTGGCTTATTGGTCTTTTTGTGGCCTTTACGATCAGTAAAGAGAAGGTTCATCTCGGCCTGGTTGTGGACTCATGGCAGGCCATGTTCCTTTGCCCGCCGGACTCTTTGAGAGTCCTTCAACAGTTGGCAAAGGACATCATCGTCAACAGCAGCTTGAATGCACGATTGGTCATGGCGAGGAAGGTGGCCCAGTTCTGCGGCAAGGCGAACGCCTTGGCCCCGGCGATTGCCCCAGCCCAGTTTTTCCTGCGCGAGCTCTTCTCCAGTCTACGGAACAAACAGAGCTGGAGCTCCCCAGTGCGCCTCAGTCGCGAGGCATTGGCAGATCTCCATTGGTGGACGCAAGTTCCAGATAGGTGGCAAGGCCGAGCCTTTCTACGTCAACCAATGTCTGTGTCGATGGCGACCGACGCCTCGGATTTTGGATGGGGCGCCGCCTTGGAGGATCCCCGTTGCCTAACCTCGGCCCAGCCCCTGATAGCGCGCGGCTTTTGGATGGCGCAGGAGAGGATTTGGCACATCAATTACAAAGACCTGGAAGCGATCCGTTTGGGCATCAAGTGTTTCTTGTGGAACTTGACCAACCGAACAATGCATCTACAGATGGACAGCCAGACGGTCTGCTGCATTTTGGAAAAATGGCGCTCGAAGGCACAACCTCTGCACCGCGAGCTGCGCAAACTGTGGTGGTTGCTGGACACACATTGCATTACGGTGCAGCCCCAATGGATTTCAACAACAGAGAACGTGATTGCAGACGTGCTCATCCGGGAGACGGACAAGGAGGACTGGCGCCTGTGTCCCGCGTCTTTTCGGCCCCTAGATCTACGCTGGGGCCCACACACTGTCGACCGATTCGCCAGCTGCCTCAACCGCCAACTCGAACGGTTCAATTCAAGGTGGGGCGATGTAGGGACAGAGGGCGTGGATGCATTTGCCCAGCCCAACTGGCCCGAGGAGAACAATTGGTGCAATCTCCCCTGGTCTCTGCTACCTCGCGTGGTTCAGCTGCTACACGATCTTCTGCGCGTCCAAGCCACCGTTCTCGCCCCGCATTGGCCAGGCGCAGTTTGGTACCGGCCATTGAAGGCGCTTTCCAACGATTCTCGGGTTTTGCCGCGATCTCCGACCCTCTTTCTACCGGGCTGGGGGGCGCAGGTGCCTCAGGGAGCAGCGCGGTGGCATGTTGAGGCTCTTCAAATCGACAAGGCGCCGGCGACCCACCCCTCATGCCATTGATCCAGCCAGGCACCCCGCTGCTGCTCGCCGCCTCTGGCCTCCTCGATCACAACAATGAATAGAGCATAGTCGAGGCCCTCCTTTCCTCGAATGCTCCGTCAGGCCGCCGCTCCATATTGGCATGGTTTTCGGTCTTTTCGCGGGCGATGCTCCCGCCGAGGCGCCCGATGGGGCCGCGGGGCCCCCTCCGCCGGATGGCCGGCGGGCTTTGCGGGGCGCTCGTCTTCTTCGGATGCGCAGTGTGGGCCCAGGCCTGCAGAATGACCGGGCGCGGGGCGGCCGTACGCGCAGTGGGTGCGCGCGGCGCCTTGCGGCCTGCGGGTGCAGCCGCTGGGAGGCGAGAGTGGGCACAATGGAATTACAGGCTGTCGTGCGGGGTCGGTCACATGACCCCCGCATGCAGCGGTACACAATCGACAGAACAGCGTATCGAATGTACCATATCGATAGTATCTCATCCCCGGGTATGGTAGGGGCCCAACCTTAAGTACTGGAACTTCTATAAGCCATAACTCCTCTACCGCTAACCCGTTTGGGATGATTCAAAGACCTATGGAAAGCTAATAGCCTCCTCTGTCCCATATAGGTACAATCTCATATCAATTATCACTTCCCAGTGAGTAATTGGAGTAAACCGGCTACCCTAGTAGTTTACACAACACATATGGTCTAAATTCGGAAAATACTGGCGCTTCTGCTCGGAGGCCAAGCGCAGGTGGAGCCCCATACCGATTGAACAGCCGATGGTCTGGGCTTACATACAATCTTTGCGGGACAGCACCCGCATCCAAGTACAGAGCGTGCCCCAGTACATCAACGCAATTGCCACTGTGCACCAGTGGTTGGCGTTCCCCAACCTGCGCCCCCATGATTCGGTAGTGGAGCAGCTCCTCAAGTCGTGGAGTCTCAAGGTCAGCCCCCTTATCTCCAAGAAGCAGACTGTGCCACTCCCCACTTCGATCGTCCTCCAGCTGGCCGAGGAGGGGTGCCGCAAGAATGCTCCACAGGAGATCCGCGCGGCCTTGGTGGTGGTTTTCGACACAGCCTTTTTGTCCCGGGTTGATTCTTCCTTCGCGACGGAGGTAGGCGATGTGTTAATGATCGAGGGACCTTCTCCGGCAATCCTGTTTACCGAACGATGATACAAGGGCAAGCAGGTAGCCAATCTGTCGTTTCGACGTCGCAGTTTTCAAACTGCAGGCTTCCCTGCCTTTGTTTCCTTGTTCAGACGGTGGGTGTCTACCCGCCAGGCGGCATGGCTTTAATCCAATAGGCCGGAGTCTACCCTCCTTTGGCAGCTGCCGGACGGGCCGGCCCTTACGGCCAAGTTTCTTGGGACCTGCTTTGATGTGGTGAGACGGCGCCACTTTCGTGATCTTTTCGGTGATGGTGTTTGTTACACCCACCACGATGTTCGTTGTGGGGGGGCAACCGCCGCCTTTGCGATTGGCGCACCCCTCCAGAGGCTTTGCTACTGGGGTGGATGGTCAGTTTCTTTAGACAGTGTGACCAAATATATTGACTTCACACACGTCGCCACCCCCTCCGATTTCCAAATGTTTGGCTGGCTACGAGGGACGGGGGAGCAGCTGGCAGAGCAGTTCGGCTATCTCTTTCAAGATGCAGCTCCTCCCTCCACCAGCATTGCTTCCCCTGGCTCTCCTCTGTCATCTTCACCCAGCTCCTATTTTGATTCGGGTGACGATCTGTAGCCCCGTCCAGTTTCAATCTACCTTGGCTGACCTGCTTCCCGTCCACTGTCTGGTCAAGCTACTCCCGCCTTCAGAGGCTCATCCTGAAGCCTGTCTCCGCTTGGGGCAGGGGCTCTGGGCCGCTCATTTTTGGAAGGATAGAGGCAATTCAGATGGGAGAGACTCAGCTGGACCAAGTTTTGATTGATTGAATGCAGATGTTAGCAGGGAATGAACACTTTGTTTGTATGTCTAATGTTTGTAGACAATTTCATTTCTGGCACAGACCTTTGGTCTTTTGTGCCTGGGTGGGAGAGGACTGCAGTGAACATTTAAGTGGCCTTTACGATCAATAAAGAGAGTTTAAATTGCATGGATAAAGCCGTGGTAGACGACGGCGAAGGACACTCACGCAGTCTGGTTTTGGCATCCCGTCAGTCAATGGACACCTTCTCACTCTCACCACAGCCGAGGTCGCACTCTTGTTGTAAGCCTGTGCACCTCGCTGTGTCGCCACTATTTTCGCACCCACCCGCCCCCCGCGTTATTCTCGGTTGGTGGCTTCACCTTTGGCTATTGGTTTTTCCGTAGAATAGGCTTCAGCGTGACCTACAAGTAGGGCCTGAAGGCAATTCAGATGGGAGAGACTCAGCTGGACCAAGTTTTGATTGATTGAATGCAGATGTTAGCAGGGATTGAACACTTTGTTTGTATGTCTGATGTTTGTAGACAATTTCATTTCTGGCACAGACCTTTGGTCTTTTGTGCCTGGGTGGGAGAGGGCTGCAGTGTACATTTAAGCTCCCCATTCGTCCTATCTGGTGCCCGTGTGGTGAGCGCGATGGGCATGTGGCGGGGAGTGTTAGTAGTCGCGCACGACGGCTCTCGCTCCCATACGCGCAACCGCCCGCAGTGGCTCGTCTTTCAAAGCCCGCGTTCGCGCTATGCGGCTTGGGCGGCCGGCGACCGTGAGGGCGTCCGGCCCGCGCGAGCGCGCCTTGGCGTCCTGCGGAACCGCCGGGATCGTCCGGCGGCTCAGATGGGCGCCGCTGCGTCGGGGAGGGTCCCGTCGCGCGGGGCGCGTCGCCGCCCCAATGCGCGCCGTGGACGGCGGCGAGAGACCGCAGCCAGGTGAGCTGAGATGTGGGAGCGACCCACCGCCCGGCCCCTTTGCCTGGGGGGCGTCATGCTGAACGCGTCGCGTCGATGCGGCAATTCCAATGCCCCAATGCAAGGCTCCCGCTGCCCAATTGCATCGCAGCTTGAGCCCAAGTCCGCCGCTCCCCGCCTCACCCCCTACCCCACCCCGCACACACACCGCCAATAGGCGACCCGAAGAGGATGGATTTCCATCCAGAACGGCAGTTTTCTGAAAGAGGTTTTTTGGAGCACTTGTGCTTTCCTGAAAGTTCTTCAATCTGCTCGCGGCAGACACACCGCGTGCCCCACCGCCTATGGCTTCCCAGTCTGCGGACGAGCCGTCGCCGATCGAGAAGTTTCTGAACCCCAGCAAGGATGACCTCCCGGACGACTTTCAGATGCCCGTGTGGGACCACCTGGAGGAGCTGAGGGAGCGCGTGCTGGTGGCCACGATAGCGTGCGGCGTCGCCGTCCTCACGTGCTTCGTGTTCTCCAAAGACCTGGTTGTGTTCCTGGAGGCGCCGGTGGCGGCGCAGGGCGTGCGCTTCCTGCAGCTCTCGCCTGGAGAGTTCTTCTTCACTACGTTCAAGGTGAAGGGTCAAGGGGAATTGAACAAGCATTGGCTTGTTTCTGGATGTTCTCTGTGGCAGAAAGCACCTGCTAGGTGCAGTGGCTTGTTTCTTTATGGCTGTGCTGACGGCTGCAATCCACGGCATTTGCGTTCAAGGTAGTTGCCAGTGACAATCCATGTGAATGCATATGCTAATGCGTGATGCCCACTGCCGGTGCTCCCCTGGGGGCGAAGCCAGGTGTAATTCCAGTGATGTTGTATGTTCCAGAAAAGCAACTTCTTGGCCATCGACTAATGGGTGTATCTCCACACCCAACATTGAGAAACGTGGCAACCTTGATGCATGCTGCTGCTGAACCATGAGCAACGATCGGAATCTAATTGTGTACACTGACCTCCCAACAACGGTTTAAGAATAACCAAGCCCACAACATCAAGGGGCGGCAGCTGCTAGTTATCTGTGCAAAAGCACTATTGGCATATCTGTTTGGCATGATGTCACTGACGGACTCAGAGACACCATTGTCACACTGTAGAAAAGCTTACCACTTTGCAGTGCGCACGACTGGGGGTGCTGGACATATGACAAACAAACTTCTTTTTTGTTGGGAAGAAAATCTCTGCAGTACTTGCAGACTCTTATGTTGGCTTTGTCTTGGGGGGGGGGGGGGGGGGGGATGATTTGTATCCTTGTGTGTCAGGATTGAAGATAGCAACTCTCACAATGCAGAAAATTGTACCAGGCATCTTGCTTGGAATGGGGATGTCCATCGTATGGCACCTTGTCTTATGGATGTTCGGCCACTGGCATAAATGGTTTCCACGGACATGGAATGGAAATGGTAGATGTGGTGGCTCCTTCCCCTGCAAATGTGGTCAGGGCATACAGGCAGTGTTTGTTTTGTCAGTAATCACAATCAAATTAGAGTAAAGATTTCTTTGTGGTGCATTGAAACCAGATCCTCTTTCAGTCGAATTAGCTGCTCTCCCTGTTCTAGTTCATAATGGCCAGCTCCTCAATTCATGAATACGTTGATGCCCTTGACATGCTGGCCCCTTTCTGGCAGTTGTGACATTTGGACAATTTTGCCAATGGAACTCTGGAGGTGCCCATCACAAAAACTCACTGTGTTCTTTTGTTTCTAAGTCAATGGTCGATCCTTGGCAAACAAATTGTGTTGTTTGTGTCTTTTTTTCCGTTGTGGCTTTGCCATTTGGGTGTCCATAATCTGACTTGCCTCCCTTTCTGCAATGGCCTCCCCCAGGTGGCAGGCTATGCTGGTCTGTTGGCAGCGGCACCCACCGTCATCTATGAAATCGTGGCTTATGTCATTCCAGGCTTGACACGTTCGGAACGGAAGACTCTGGCTCCTATTGTCTTTGGATCATCCATTCTCTTCTATGTTGGGTGGGTGCTCTGATGGTGCACAATGCACCCTGAATTGTTGCAATCAAAGTGTTACACCTGCAGACACCTCCAGCAAATGATATATTTTGATATTCTTGCTGCAGTTTCTGAAATGTTTCTTCCCAATTCAATGCCTGGCATGGTTTGGGCGCCTCCCCCACGTTTCGATGTGATCCACAATCGGAAAGCGATCCATAGCTTTCAAGCTTCCCCATTTAGCCAAGATGCGTTGGACGCAAGTCTGCTGTTCATCTACAAGACTGAAAGCAGAATGAGGGGATAGCCACGAAAGCAGAAACATGTTCTGTGATGGTGTCCACATGGATGTTTGGTCCCCCTGTGCACACAATTGCAAGGACACATCTTTTGATCTTTTGCATGACATGCTCAAACAAACCGCGCATCGACTACCCATGCCGATTCTTGCTGCTTGCTTGTACATCTCTTCATCTTTGGCTACCAACAACGTGCTTCTGTTTGTATGGTGATATGAAAGCCTCCTTAGTAGTTAGCATATCCTGAAATCCAAAAACAAGATGTTGAAGAGATTATAAGTTCAGCAAAAGACCACAAAAAAATACACTACAGTCAGGATCCCCAAATTCGTGTGTTCCTACTCTGCTGTCCCAACGTTCTTTATTGGCAAAGGAGCAGTGAGCTGTATGTTGTCCATTGATGTAATTGCCAAAATGTATTTTGTCCCACTGAGCGTCGCTGTGTTCTGGTGCCCCCACAGACTCCTTTTTTCCTATGAGATCCTGACCCCTGCTGCTCTGACCTTCTTTGTTTCTTACTCGAGTGGTGCGGTGGAGTCCCTATGGTCCATAGACCAGTACTTCCAGTTCGTTCTGGTTCTGATGCTCTCCACAGGCCTGGCATTCCAGGTAACGATCTTAGCTGCCTGCCGCAACCTGCTGCTCTGTGCCATGCCTGCTCTTGATCTTTGGCGCATCTGGGATGATGCCATCGATGGCGATTGCGACAGCTTGTCAGGCCTGTGCAAATGAATGCCCTATCATATTTGTACGATTTGGGTTCGATGGAACCGCCCATCATCTTTACGTGGCATAGGCAGCGGTTGTCAAACACTGGCGAACGTGAGTTCTGTGTCACTGCGTCAAGTTGCAACTGCTCTCAAATTGAGGAACTGAAAAGTGGGATGTATCTTTCAGTGTGGTCCATTAGCACTAAGCTTACTGTAGAAGCACCTTTGACTGTACACACCCTGAGAGTGCTTAATATGGACTGTAAAAGCGCAGATGCTCCATTGAGGCGCTCACACTGACCGGCCCTTAATGCTGTGAACGACTGCTCAGTGGAAATGCCATGGGTCTCCTGTTGGTAACACAGATAGCAAACTCCAATGGGATTTTTGGAATGCACTGCAGTTCACCTCTCCCAAGATTTAGAAACTAGGCACCGACCGTGGACCTATTGCGCTTTGAGAGCAGCATTTGCACATTTCAGGGAGACGCCGTGCTACGGACAATATTGCCCTTCGCTGGTTTGGCGGCGTTTGGGCGGTGTTTCGCGAAGCACGTAACGATTCAGACTGCATCCACTGATTTGGCAAACGAACGGGGCACAGGAGCAATGATGCGTGCTTTTGTGACCTGGCATCGCCACGTGTCTGTGCAGACCAGTCGCTGAGACAGCAGGAAGCGCTGGTGTGCCTGACTCTCGCTTGGCCATCACCCACAGTTCTTCTGATGCGCGGCAGCGCAGTATTGCAAAGCTAGTCAAGAAAGGGTCGCACAGTGACTGACGCACATGATTGCTTTTCAAAGAATAAAACCACAATAAAAGTATTCCCTGGTGTGCGTCAGGTGCCAGTGATCCAGATCCTTCTTGGGCAGACAGGCATCGTGACCTCGCAGATGATGTTCGCCCAATGGCGGTACGTGGTTGTGGGGGCAACCATCGCGGCTGCCGTCCTCACGCCCTCCACTGACCCCTTCACGCAGACCCTCCTGGCTGCGCCCCTCATCGCGCTCTACATGGGGGGAGCCGCCGTCGTGAAGGCCCTGGAGACTTCTAAGCAGACCCAAGAGGCATAAGAGGGTGTCCACCAGAAGCCTAAGCATCTGGAAGCTTCCATGCAGGCCCACAAGGGGCCAAGTTGGGCCCGCTGCATAGACGACCAAATGTGCAGCCTCCCAGCACAGATCCAGGAGGCGCGAGAGGCAAGGATTGGTATTTTGTCTTCACAGCCTGTTGGGCAATTCACCGATTTGCGCTCGTCGCGTCGGCTCCAATGTTGTTGCGCCCCTGGCTGTCTTACGAACTGGCAAAGTGCCCAGATCAGTTGAGGACGGGTAGGCGTCCGCTATTCTAATGTGGTGCTGGAACGATTTTGGGACAAAACGATGGATTGGGTGCCTCACCAATCCAGGGGGGTTTGATTGCTGTGTTGGAAATGTGTCTGGCAGCGTGGCATGTCCAGTGTCATGGCATGCGCTGGAAATCGGAGCTGGTGTTTCAGCGGTGGTCGTGCGTCGCCGTCAAAGGATCTCCAGTGTTGGCGGCGTCGGACGCCAAGGGAGGCGTGGCATCCGCTTGTAAGTGAGGCTTCCCGCAATGGTGGCTCCCAATCTCTCCTCTCCTGTTAGGTACCGATTGATTCATCGAATCGCCAACGTTCGTGCGTTGATGCGCAACGCCTCTAATTCTTTGCAACAGCAGCCGACACGATGGCCGCCTGAAACCATCTTGTAATTCGGCTCACTAAAGTTCCTGCGGTTCCCAAAGAAATTCAGTACCCCTCAGCCGCGCTCGTCGGCCCACACCCCCGCCCAGGGGCGTCACCCCGCCGCCTTCTGGGTGGCCGTCAACTGTCTCATGCCGAGCAGGGCGATGAACACGCTCACGGCGCGGGTCGCGATGCAGGTGAACAGGCTGTCCGTCGCGATGGCCTCCAGGCAAAGGTAGGAGGTGCTCGCGAAACAGGCGGCAAAGGCGAGCGGAGCAATCTGCGGCCTCAGCTGCAGACAGGACAAAGTTCGCCCTCTCACAATGCGACCTCGTACGTGATGTTGTACGTTGAAGCAAACGGAAGGCAGAAAACGCCTTGATGGTATCAAGTTGATGCCACGACGGTGGAAAGGCAATGCCTGATCCAACTTTGATAGGTTGAAATACAACAGATAGTACCATGAAGAATAACGAACAAATAATCGAAGTGCACAGTAATTGAAGGACCAGCAAGTGGTTGGGGGTGTGCGACGCTGGCTTGGCAGATTGCACTGCAGTCGTCGCTGTCAAACGACAATATGGACGTTCCGTCACAATCTGAATCGCCGGTGGCCAGAAAGTGCACGCAATGTACTCGCGATGTCTTCATCAGCACAATCAATGGCACTTGATCCATCATTGCACGTGATCTACAGCACTCCATGACATCTGCCGGCGGCATGGCGAGTGGCAGCGCTGTGGTAGTACTTTCTTTCATGCACTTAGTGGACACTGCATTGATGATTCACAATGACGGATCAGAACACACGAAAGCGGAAAGAAACTTCAAAGCTAAACAGCTTCAAATACCTGCTGCAAACACAAGACGCACACAGACACATACACAGAGGGAATGCTTTCTCGCTCTTTACGCCAGTCTTTGCTGCACACTGTCCATGACTCATTTGAAGGCTTGCATTCTATAGTGTGGGGAGATGCTTGGGGACTCTTGGCAAAGGGCGGGGAGCATTCGTTGTGTGGCGCATTTCATTTTCTGTTTCCCCTCTCCCTCTGCCACGAGGAGGCAGGCAACAGCTGTGCCTCGTGCCGGAGTAGGAAGGAATGCATTGCCCTATCGTCTTTATGAGTTGGGGCATATAGTAGGCAGGATATGGCGCAGAGACAACCGAGGATTATCATGTCCGTTTGCTGCAAGCACAGTGTTCTCGTGGAGTTGTTGATGGCAATTTCCTGCTGTTTCTTCTACTCCCACAGGCTTCTACAACATCGAGCACGGCAACGCCCACCATCATTTTAGGATACAAGGACAGTGTTTTGTGCTTTCTGGCAAATGGATCCATAGCGACAATAAGATTGTCACTCATAAAGGCCCACGAAAATAATGCTGAACATGAAAATGCGCCCAATTTCGAAGATGGTGCTAAATACGGTACGCCGAAGGTTGTGAGTGGAAGTAACGGCAAGGGAATATCAGGTACGCAAAATGTCTTCCACTGTATTGCGCAGGAGAGGCGTTCATGCTGTGTAGGTCTGCCACCCTCTTTCCTGGAAAGATAATGTTTAATATCTTGGAATGATGATTGCTCATGATGCAGCAGGTTCTCCTCCTACCTCACTGTCGTACAAGAGAGATATGTCCTCCTCACTCTGATAAATATCGAGGTCTGGCATCCAGCCAGCAGACTTTCCCCACTCTGGCAGCGCCACGCCCGTTAGGGCAGTCACCATTCCAACAATCCCAGCGTCTGTTGGCGCCTGCAGAGGCAGCAAACCATCAAAGCGATACCAAGTTTCGAGCGGCGGCGCTTGCGGTGCAAACATTTTGATTGCATTTGTCTAAATGTGTCAAAACCACGGTCCTTGAACCTGTCGGGCCTGCAATTTATGGTGGTCCACGTCCCAAAAGAAGACAAAAACTGCGGCACGCTTGCACCAGGACATTGAGTGCTTCTGAGGGCCCAATGAGGGTCAAATGCAAACTGGCAGTGACAGTCATGGGAACTGACCTGGAAAATGCGGAGATAAGGAAGTGGGGCTGTCATTCCTCCCAGCGAAGCAGCCAGAGGGGCAGTCCCTGTGGGAGATGGCTCGACTGGCCATGCCGTGAGGGACGACAGAATCGCACCCTGCTCCAAGAAACCGTCGCCTATGGCCCGCCCGAGGGCCTCGATTGCCAGCACTTGTTTGGAAGCAGCCGCAAAGTATGCCGATCCCGCTTCTTCGTACTGTTCATTTCGTTTAGATACACAGACAGCCTGCGCCAAAGTTGCAGATTTCCTCATTTTAGTCCATTCCCTCACGAGAGTCTTTCAATCCCCATGCCCGTTCCATGCTGGCCGCTGCCACGTGGAACCGCAAGATGAGGCCAGCCATATAATTTAAAGCACATTTTGCTACAGTACACTCTATTCATACACCATTTTCTATATTCATAACTTATTGGCGCGCAAATAGGCCATCTCCCACAAGGTTTGCCACCAGTGAGACAACAGTACGATGGACATGACAAAGCAAAAGCCCACAGTTCACTGACAGCTGAATGCTGCAGTCTTCTGTTCATACCACAGGTTTTGTAGTAGTTTGTTTTGGAAGTTGAGAGAATACACACTACCGATGAGAAACATGAACGAAGAGAATGCGATTCAGCAGAAAGACAGAAGAGGGGAGAGACACAGCACTTTCTGCTGTCTATTCCATGCGCTCTGATCCACAACAGCCTCAACAACACACATTGGGAAACACAATTATGAATCTGAGCTGAGCCCACCATCCTTGAATGGGTCCAAGGGTAGTGCTGTGACCACAACGGTGTCATCTACTGTGGAACGCTACAAAATGAAAATATGGACAGGTGCAAATGCTGCAATTCATGCATTCAGTATGCAATTTGATAGATGCAATCAATGCAGGTTTCCTGTTCATGACAGACAATCTGGCACACTTTGCACTTTGCCTTTGGGACACCAAAACTGTCAATGGCCTCTTCACCCCCCCTGTTGTATTGCTGTACTAAGTACTCTGCTGCTGCATTTGCCAGAACAAATGGCAAGAGCACTGCACTCATGCATATTAGCCAGTGTCCGGCGCTGTTCACAGCAACACAAAAGAGTTTCGGGGGAAAACCAGTACCAAGGTATCCAGCCTGCAGTCCAAGGTTGCAATGAACTGCACTGCATGGCATGAAATTCCCGCTGCCCGCCTGGAATTCTGCACCATCTGCTTGTGGATGGACTAAAATTTCAATAGGCACTTCTCCCTCAAAGGGGGGGTGCCCACTACATGACATACTCTCCAAACTTAGATTTTGCAAAGCGCCATTAAGCACATTTACATTAGACAGACATATCTTGCACGCTGGAGAAGGCACTCACACTTTGCAAAGACAATTCATATGTGCCATTTACCGCACACATGTTGACTTGAACTTTACCTTCACAGCCTGAAATCGGTCGTGCACAAAACCTTGCCACAGCAGCAGCGTGGTCAGCGCATGGGGTAGCGTCCACAGCACCCATGCCACCAGGCCCTGGGAGGGCAAGTGCCACCTCTCATACGCATCAATCCCCAGCCAGCCCAGCAGGGCACCAGTGAACCACACCCCCACCCCCACCCCAAACAGGTCCACGGTCGCCAGCAGCCAGCCGTACTGGGACATCACATTTGGCCAGTTCGATCGGCCAATGCTCCTGAACAGCTGGGCAAGAGAGAGCAAAAGATGTCAAGGACTTAAAGGTAGGGCTCTGCAATGTCCAAGCAGTGAAGAAGAGACGCTGATGCACATCCGCTGTCCTTACGAACCTTAGAGACTGCAGCCAGTCAACGCACTATCGATGAACCTGAATTCACTGACATCGTCTAGTAGATTCTTTGGCGATGTTTTGGTGCTTTTGACAAATGCACTTGAGCAGAGTGACACACACTGACACCATGAGTCATAGCAGGGACAGGTTCAAGAGATGAACCTGTTCAGGACAGGCGCAAGATGAGTAGCATGGTACGAAGACCAGAAGTCTGTATTCTTGGTGCTCCATGCATTCTGAAAACGACAACACGCTCACATAGCAGCTCCCAACCAAAATTGTGAGCCCACCTCGTCGGAATCGACCAGGTCTCCAGCCTCTGCTCTCCTTTTGGCATCCTGAATCTTGGGCAGTATGTTCTCAAGGTCTTTGGCAGCAGTGTCAATGAACTCACTCATGAACCCAAACAGGTTCAGCTGCCACTGAGGTGCATCATGGAATCCACCTTGGATGTACATTTCTCTGTCTTGTTGAAGATCTTTGAAAGATTTCCTGCATTGCTCACAGCCATTCTTCAACACAATGACTGCAGTGGTTGAATCAAACAAGATATCGAAAGTCGCTGTGTTGGCAGCGATTGGACACATGCCATGCACACTGTATGGTGTTGGACACGTTCAACTTGCCTTTGGCAACTTCTGTGCCTGTTTTCACAGTATGGAAATTTCACACAGCCCTTTGCTCAGGAGGGGGGCACCAATCACATTGACCAACACATTTGTCCGTAAGTTGTTGATTTCCCACATTCACCAAAACCATCCCATTGTGCTTTTAGTGTTCTACTCAGCGAATTGTGCTGCCTCAAGGCCAGAAGTGCGTGAAAAAGTCTCCCACAAAACTTCTTGCCCAAGATGTGAATGGCATCCAATACCTTGCTCAGCCTGTTTTGCTGATGTCCCCTGTCTTGGTAGTATCTAATCCACCCAAGACCCCCAAAATAAACAACCGCATTGACTTGAGCTTCAGCCAAAAGACTAATTGAGAAATGCACACACCGACGTGAACACCGACGTTTGACTGTGGACTTGTTATGTTGACACTTGAAGTCCTCCCCCCCCGTGCTCGCCCTGTTTTGTCTCGGGGCCCCCCCAAAATCTCCCTGAAGGTGGAGGAAAAGCGGGATCGCGCCCCGCTTCCAGCTTGTAGCAATCTTCCTCACCCTACCCCACCCAAGCACCGGCGCCCACCACCCACCGCATCCAAAGCGCACCGTCCTCCAGGAAGTGTATCAGCTGCAGGTCGGCCGCGTTATCCCCGTCGAAATTCCCCGCGCGATGGCGCCTGGGGCGCCGGCCTCGCCCCGGGCGCGGTGCGCCCGAAAAACACACCCGCCGGGATCCAGTGCACCCGATGCTCCCCGCGCCGGGTCCGACCAAGCGAGGCCCCCCCCATGAGGCCGGCGGTGCCCATTGCTCCGCATGCCGCCCGGAAGAGGAGCACCTGCCCGGCGGGGCGGGGGGATGGCCGACGGGCGCCACGCCTGGCGAATGCGAATGCCCATTGGGCGGGAGCATCAGGCATGGCAAGAGCGCTTTTGGGGATGGCTGGATTATGCGCGTCGGCCGGCCCCCAGGAAGTGCTGGGGCGGCGGGCGGGCGGCCGCGATCGAAGGGCGTCGGCGCCCGAATTGAAGATTGTTTTCGCTGAGGGCGCGATCCAGCGGGCGGATGATATGAAAATAGGGAGTTGGGGGCGCACCTGAGATCGGCGGCAGCATCCTTGCGCCGGTCCTGCAGCTTGGCCAACAAGGCGCACCCCCGGGCGGCGGGGCGGCGGCGGGGCCGACTAGGCGCGGCATCGGCGGGCTGTGGTTCAGCTGCAGTGCAATGAGCAGAGCGGAAGGCGGGACACTCCTGTTTCAAGCCGTTCTGGGACGTCAGCATGTAGGTCCTTGAGGCCTGTGAGCGGCGCTGCCAAGAGCCTTCGAGGTGCCCTTGGTACGGCCTGTTTCTCTTTCTCTTTTGTAACAAATTTTAGCCCCGCCCCCCCCTCCCCGCGTCAATCCTTATTTTGACGCTTCCTGCAATATTTGAGGACCGCATATTGCAACACACGAATAAACACCGCCGTTGCCACCACACAAGTTCCCCACAACGCCACAAAAGTTGGCGCAACGTGACGTGCAGTGCCATCACAGCTCCACTCTCTGGCGGCCTTTGCGGGCGTCTAAGCTGCGTGTGGGTTCTTTGCATGAGAATTCTGTTTCACGATGACAAGGACATTGGATTTAGGTGAAGCCTTGCACACACACACACACACCCGATCGTAGTGTCGCGCACCGTGGCTTTTCCCCCGCCGACAAGCAGTTTTCCAAGCTCACGTTGCACGAGCAACAGACATGCACTCTGTAAAAGCTTGCTGGTGATCCGTGGGCTGCCCTGAGGGAGCCTGTGTGTGTTTTCGATTGAGGACACCCGTCGCTTGGGTCTGCTGTGCATGATTGGCCGTGCATCAAAGCAGGGAGGGGTCTCATCAGTGCATGTTCCCGGCACGCGGGCAAGAGGCGAAAGCGTCGTTTGTGTGGGAAACCCCTGGACGTCGGTTGGTGAGTCATGCTGGTTGGCCCCATGCGATCCCCGGAGCGATTTGGGGCAGCCACGAAACTGCAGCATGCGCCGTGATCGCTGCCATTGTGGGCGTTGTGATCGCGCCCAAGCCCATTTGCCCCATTGCACACATTTCGGTATGCGTTTTCTGATGACTTGAAGGCGTTCTGGACCTGCTCTTGCCTTATTTTGATTTTGGTGCAATTACATAATTTCTTACCGTGACGTCCTTGACCCTCGCACCCACCCCTAAGATCAATTTGACGCGAAGCGTACCAGAATCAAAATAATGTCTTTCCAAAGCACATGAAGGGTGGGACCCCGGTTTTCAGATTGTGATGTATTTGTTGCTACCAGCTGCAAAGCGCTATGTTCGACTAACAAGGGAAACACAGTCCACAAAACCCCGACTGCATTCATCAAGAGATGTTAGTTAGGACAAAATGTGGTATCCTCGGTCTTGCTTAACGCAGTGTTATTAAAAGGCGTTGCTTTAAATGCTAAAGAAATGCGTGTGTTTATCCATATCTGCATTAAAAGGCGCATCCACTTTGGGCAAAGTTGCCGCAGAAATGTAGGGTGAAACCATATCCCATAGGGTGATGCCATATGAGAGCACTTGGTAAGCGAAATTGAGGTGTGTGAAGACAGTTGCCAGTGAGCTTCCTTCCCTACCTGCATACCTGGCCACAAAATATAGCATGCAATGTTGGTCACAACGTGCCCTTGTCGCGAAATTCTTTTTCGCATACCAGAATAGATCTCACCCCGTTCTGATACAGTAGATGAGGGCATTTCACCTGGAAGCCAAACAGTGCACTTCGATGCAAGGCTCAAACAAACAACAGTGTTTTGTGGGCTGCTAGGCCGTCGCTTCTTTGGCACGAAGTCCTTGTCCGGCCATTTCGTGTCCCGAATCTGGTCCCTCAATGAGGAGCACGAAAGCTTTCAAAGCCGGGCAGATATTGCGCTGAGTGCCGCAGGACGGCCCAAGGGCGAGGAAGGAGACGCAGGTTGAGCAGGAACAATGAAAAATAAATAATAGCTGCTCCCCGCACAGCAGTGCCCTCCAAAATCTTCCCCAGGCGTTCCCCATACAAAACCCTCCTCAACGATGCAGGCCGCACAGTCGTCCCCCAAATCCCATCCGAAGGGGTTTGTACCTAATCTGAGAACCCTTCCCCTAATCCCACCGATTCAGCATTGTCATAAGACTCGCCTCCCCATGCCAGGCGATGGAGCACAGTTTTCCCTAGTCCCTCTGCCAGCGCACTATGTCAGATAGCACCCTCCAGTGCGAACGCACTGCTAGTCCGAATTTAAAGCAACAGCAGCACATGCCCCAAAGTTGTGTCAAATGTCCTGCCAGGAAAGCTTTCGCCTCTTGAGGTCCTCTCCCTGCCCCAGCAGTTTCCTCGCAGCCCTGAACTGCTCCGTGCCTGGGCCGGGGCCTGTCTCGATGAAACAGCACGCTGCCAGGTACAGGATCCCCAGGCGGGAGACATCCTCCATGGTCACAGGGCTGCCCTCCATGGGAGCGTCCTCCTCCCCCCACTCCACCTCCACTGCCACCTACAGCAATCGACATGTGCGAAGGGCACGACAGTCAGACGTTTGCAATGGAGCGAATGTCGAAGTCAGAGTTGCTTGGTTCTGCGGAGCGTTCATGCACATCAAGTTGTGGAACTTTGCACGAAGCAGGCGCCCAAGATCGAAAAAAGGAAAGAAACAGGGAAGTAGAACGGGTGCCTTGCAGCTCGCTGGCTGTTTCAATGCCATCAATCTACAATTTATATTCAAAATGTACCTAAACATAGTATCAAAAGCATCAACAATACTGTGACATAATATCAGCCTTCAATATCAATCTTCAGTCCTGTCCAACACACCCATCAATGCTCTGTGTGTCCTGCCGTGCTTTGGTCAATTTCACGTGCCAGAAATGGCGCCAAAACAGCGAAAAACGCGCGTTCCCAAACAACGGCGCGTTCTTCGCACACAGGCGACAGCGACCATGAACCAAACGCCACTGACAACGCGACGTTGACACTACATGAAGCGTTGGCATGACGCTCCAAATGTTGGAGAGCTCCGATCCGTCCCAGGGCCTCCCGCCTACATCTCCTTCAAACGTTGGGAGGAAAAGGAGGGATATGGCCTCGATTGGATGTTATTCACGAATCTCGCCCACCTCCATCTTGGCGCTGGGCGCGCCACCTCCCCGCCCCTCCCCTTCCGCTGCCTTCGGATCGCCCTGCGGCGCCCGTCGCGCCTCCCGCGTGGGCTGCTTCCTGGACGTCGCGCCAGCAGCGGGCCCGGCCTCCGCGCCCGCGATCCCCGGCAGGGATGCCAGGGCCGGGACGTGCGCAAAGGCGGCCGACCGGAAATCTGGCAGCGACGCCTGCCGGGAGGGCGGCCCGCATGGATGTCCCGCGGCATTCCCCAAGATGCCCTTCCTGCCATTGTGCTGGGAGAGCACATCATACCTCGGATGGCCGCCCTGGCGATCCAGGACCATGCCCAGCGCCGAGGCGCCCAACCCGGGAGACGCGAACCCCCTTAGGGACAGGGGGGCCACCTGATGAGTTGCCGGTCCCGTGGGCCCGGCCGCCCCGCCGTGCGGGTCGTCCAGGGCGGACTCCGAGCAGTACAGGTCGATCGACGGCTGCCGCGCGGGCACGGGATCCCCATGCGCCGGCTGGAGGGATCCGACGGCCGGCAGCGCGGGTGCGCCGGATTGGGCCGCCCGGGGCGTGTCCAGGTCGCTCAGACTCTCGCTGGTCAACAGGCTACATTGCTCCACTCGCTGTGCCGGGAGGTCCAAACTTGGCATCTGGCCCTGCCAGTGGCCTCCCACCGGCAGGTGAACGTACGGGGCCTGGACGTGCTGCTGATGGTGATGCAGGGCGCCCCACATGGCGGCCGGGGAGGCGTGCAGGCCGTGCTGGACCCGGAGGTCCATGACCCCCCCGGCCCCAACCGGCCAGGCGTGGGCCGTCGGGCCGGCATGGGGCGGCGCCATGACGCGGGGTCCCAGGCCGGCGGGCAGCGACGGGGCGTACTGGACGTGGGCCATGGGGTCCGCGTAGGGGAGGGCGGGCCGCAGGGCCGGACCGCCCAGAGGGGCGGATGGAAGGGAGGCCAGGTCGGGCCCCCGGGGCCCGTACCGCAGCCCGCCGTAGGGCATCCCGGCCGCCAGCAGGGGCGCCGGGTCGGGGTAGCCGCCGGGCAGCCCGCGCTGCGCCCCCAGCCCCAGTCCCGAGGGACCCGCCATCCCGGGGGCCGCGCCGGCCTGGGAAGCGGGCCCGTGGGCCCGCGCCTGGGCCCCTGGGTCCTCGCCGTCGCTGTCGTCCAGCATCTGCTCGTTGCAGGACAGCCCCCCATCGTCCGCGCTGCCTTCACGGCCGATCCCCAACTGGGGCCTGCCGCCAACGCTCGGCCCCGCCGGGCTGACCCTGTTCGACCCGCCAACAGGCCCCCCATCCTCCAGCCCGATGCTCCCCTGGCAGTTGTCGACGCCGCTGAAGTGCGGATTCGCGCCGATGTTCAGATTGGGGTCAAGTTGGCCGTTCCCTGAGGCGCAGAGGGGGGTGGGCGCCTGGGCCCCGTTGCAGCGCGGCCCGAACGCATCGGACGGCGGGACGGCGGCCGGGTCCGCTGCGTCCGACGCCAGGGAAGACTGCTCCGTCAGGTCAACGACGATCCGCTCCGCCGTCGCGCCATGCTCGGCGGGGGGCAGGGTGCCGTGACGCTCGTTCCCCTGCGGCAGAACGAACGCCGGCCGACGTCAGTGCCTCCATGCGACGCGCTCTCTCCATCTGTCAATGATCTCTCGAGATTTCTCGGCCATGCGCGCCGCGTTCAGCTGGGCCGAAGCGAAGGAGCAAGGCTCCGGGCAAGGAGCACTTTCGGGAGGTGTTCCGAGCTCTGTGATCGAGCTCGTTGAGAGGCAGAACTGTCCACGCGGGGTACAGGCATGAGAACACCGTCCGCCTGCAACCAGCTGCCCCACGAGCCACAGCACCACGGCGGCGAAACGCGTCGATGTTCATTAAAACGGGTTAGTGCACTGAGGTATGCCGCTCAACTCAAACCTTCCGCACCAGAAAAATATACCGTTACGCATTTTTTCTCCGCATTTTTGTTTTCGGAGCGTTATTTTTTAGGTTTCTCCACAGAAAAGGCCAAGCGTTTCGTTACTGTGCAGGAGGTTTGAGTGTTTTGCGGCAGGGGTTTCCACAGCCGACATAGGTGCACATGCTCTGGCACACCAGACAATGGCCTTTGAGGTGGTTTCAAATGTGCCCTCCTGTTATCCACAATTTCCACCTGCACCTTGCATGCTCACATTCTGGCAACAAACAGCGTCGATGACAAGATTGACTGCCATTGCCCTTGGCATGCAATGGCAGCATCTGTGGATGGCAATTCAACAATTCAAATCAAACCAAAATCGATGCAGACTCCTGCACGTCCACAAGGTGGGCAACGCTATCTGCAAAGGGGAAGGATTTAGAACCTGTGGGTTTATTTTCAAAAAGTCAATAGCGAATGGGGGAGGACACTTTCCATTGCTGGCGCTTATGGCAACCTCACGACCAACAGCACATTGTTTATCCCCTTCAGCTTGCAATAATCTGGAGCAGAGAAAGGCGAAGGAAAGCAGCACACTCACATTGGCACACACACCCAGCCCAGATGCCTGTGGTCGCCTTCCATCTGCCAGATGGTTTGCTGAGTTTCCCCGGAGCTTCTCCATGGCGCCCACCCACTCCACAAACTTGGGATGCTGGGATACATCCTGTTGGACAGGTATCTTGAGGGCGTGCTGGCTGAGGGACAGCCAAGTAGTGGCAGAGCCCTTGCCCTCAGAACCATCCCATCGCACCAGCACCTCGTTTGCAACTCTGCCATCTGCCCAAAACGCCAGCAGAGTTTGTTACAAAACATACTGGACTTGTGTCCATCAAACCTTCTGGACTGTTGGGGCTGAACTGAACTGAGCAGAGCTGGACTGGACTGAAATGGACCCCAATGTGCCCTGGTGACCCCAGATGCAGTGGCACTGGCTGCTATTGTTTGTAAGCTGGGATAAGGATAGCATGTGTGGGTCTGTGGACTTCATCAATGCATGTTCGAATGACAGCTGGCATTGACGAACACTGAAAATCAACACTGAAAATTTTTGCCACAGAAGTATTTTACGCCCATATCGAAAATCAAAAGCAACATATTCGATGTTATCTTTTCAGGATTGCTGTGCCGTAGCTAGGAGACGTTATTCTCATTTGAATTCCTTGCTGCTTCATATTCCCTTAATTCCCTGTGGAGCAGTGCAAACCCAAACAGAACACTGCATATCTGGTTCGTCAGAATACCAAGCAGCACAGCATAATGCACAGGAACTCTGGCCTCTCAACTGTGGGCAGCCCAGAGTACTGATGTTACTTTGGGGCAACAAGTGGGTTTCGGGACATGGGCATATGACCAGCAAAAAAGAGATGAGCATAAAAGGATTTCAGCCAGCTTTTGGAGCCCACCAATGGTCCAACCCAGTAGCTATTTGCACACAACCAGATTTCACGCAGCAAAGAGCATCTGCATTTCCAGGTTTTTGGCATTGTGGTAGGCAGTGGTGCATATGCTGGATGTGGTACACCTGCAAGACAACCCCATATCTAACTAGGCTATTGTCATGTTGACACAATGCACAACACCTCTTTTCTATTGACAGCGCTCCACATGACAAAACTGCAGCATCACGGCACAACAGCAGTGAAAATAGAAATGAAACAAATGCAGGGCCATTCTCAGTCTAATGGGAGGACTTGGGGAATAAGGAGGTTTCTATAGTTTAGAGCAACGCATTGTGATGGTATCATGCAGAAAAAGTGCCAAGGGTCACTACCTTGGAGTATAGACCGTCTGTCCTGGACTTTGCATTGGTACCTGCATGCCACAGTGGTCGTAAAGCCTGGAACGTGAATGTCAACTGGAATCTGAATTCAAAATCAGAGAGATTGGCAGAGTGTGGGCTTTGCTGAGTCGAATTAGATCAGTTTGCAATAGGAATCCACCCAAAGAAAACATATGCGGCAGTTAGCAGCACAAGACAAGGCTGCCAGGACAGTGTAGTGCAACACAGCCGCAAGAGTGATGGCACACATTTCTTCCTTGTGACGTCTATAGGCTTTCATCAGCAATGGCAACCCACCACTTCTTTTCAGAGCTCTGTGGCTGCTCACAGCCCAAAACTCGCAGCCCTGTTTGCATGAAGTTGGCGTCAGCGTCGGAGGCTGTTCTGTGTAACACCACTGGCAACAGTCAGAGCAGCAGCTAAACCAGAACAAGGTCCACAAGGATGCTGTCTGCACAAAGACAGAGACAAGGTAGATGTGATATCTATGATATCTTCATAAATGCGACTACCAGGATCCAGATGAAGATGGCACCTGCCAATCGGGGCTGTAGCAACAGCACTGAGCTTCTTTGTGCATGCAAGAAGCATGGGAAGCTTCATGACTGCAGCAGCTGCTGTGAGATCTTGGTGCAGGCAAGCAACAAAGGAAGAGAAAGAGAAACAGGGGACGAGCAGTTTCGCTCCCATGGGAGTCATTTGTGCATTTGGGCATTTTCGGAGATCGTGCTCTGAACGTTGTGTGTGGGAACTGGTGCCCATCGTCACATTGAAGGTACAGGTTCAGTGCTTTCTAACCTATAAACAGTATGGCGTAGGACGGCAGAAAACAGGGAAGGACTGAATGGAAAACAATGATTGAACAAACAAAACCAGAACTGCTTGTCTGCCCTTAAGGTCATGTCGGGATATGGAGAGCAAGTAACAGAACACAGCTAAGGGCCAGGTTGATGACAATAGGATCACAACAAGCAGAGTCACACCAAGGCAGTAATTGTGTGCCTTGCAAGAATTGCATCAGACAGCGAGCTTGCTTGCCGCCTGCCTACTGAGACATCATGGTCATCTTGAGCACCTGGGTGTGCACTGCAACCGCTTGCTCATCTCCCCAAACTCAACAATCTCGCCTTCGATGGATGTGGCATTGCTGGACAAAAACACAGTCACCTTAGGGGGTCGAGGCCACTGCAAGCTTGAATAGTAAGAATCCATCGGTGCCCTACAGCAAGGTATGGGCTGACACTGGCGTTTACGCAATCTGCAACTGGCTGGCTTGCTGACTGGAATGCAAGATCGATGGCAACGATGTGTCTAGGCTTCCAAGCATCCATCAGTGTTAGGTACAGCATCTTGTTTTTGGTCACCAGCTTTGGCACAAGCTTTGTCAAGCGCAACAAAAGGACACCCCTGCACTCAAGAAAGCAAGAGTGCACCAAATCGTGCTGGCCTTGCCCCGTACCCGACTCCCACCCTCAGCACCGCTCCTGCCGGAGTGCCCACCACATGCGTCAGCTGCAGATTGACATCTCGCCAACTCCCATCCTTTTTGCAGTGCACCTGCAGCCCCGGCATGTCCATGGCCTTTGGCCCGCCCATGTACCATCCCACCTGGAGCAGGCAGCAGTGGCAGTTGCCGTCACAGTCCGTGAGGTAGCGCAGCACCAATGTTGGCAATCAGCATAATGTGATTGATGATTGGACTCAGGGAATCACTGCAAACTGCTGTCGGTCTACCTTTTGGAAAAATATCATGTCTATGAGGGCACTTTGGACAGTAGCTAACCCCTCTGAAACTGCTAACACCGCAGGCTTGTTTGATGCAACCGGTAGGCAGAGTGCGGCAAATTTAGTGGATGATCCAGTGCCAGCCATCGCCTCAAGTTGCAGAAGCACATGTTTGTGTTTCAGCAGGACATTTAACCAAAAGAGAATTTTCGCGGGCTGGCTGCAGTAAACCTCGTTTTTTACATTCGTCCACCGGCAAAGCAGGGCCTTTGCTCCTAACCCATGACCTCAGGTGTGAAGTGCTCTGAACGAATCGTTTCCATGGTCTCACGGGATTGGGCCAAAGCAGCAGAGGCATGTGAGGCATGCAGGTGGATGGGGCCAGGTGGTGCTGCTTGCTTGACAGCCCAAACTTGTTGACCGCATGCGCCATTCGACATTCTTGGAATTCCACCTGTCGCATCTGGCAATGGAAAGCCCTTGCAGCTAATTTGGAGTTGACGGGCACTCAATAGAGCACATGGTGATGGTTGGTTACCTCCGCCGAGACGTTGCTTGGACTGGGGTAGAGCCAACTCACGGGCATCATTTTGTGACACCATCCATCAGAGCTCTCTTGACACACAAGGGTTTCTGAGGGCATCATACTTGTGTGTCATTGTCTCAACATTTTGGTCCTTGTCCTGTTGCTTTTAAACTTTTTAGAGGAGTCTGCAACTCTGTCCGCTTCATGGCAGGAGGGGTTCTTTGGGCACCAAGATCTGAACCAAGCAGATGGCATGGCTCTGCTGGAATTGAGCATTGTGTAACCCAAAGTGAGGACTTCATTCTTCATGGGCCACTTTTGTCCAATGGGCTTAACAGCGTCATTATGCCTACGAGGTGATAATGGGTTATTTTGCCTCTGCAGTGTTCCAGACAACTCGCGAGTGTCTCACAAAGGCCAGCCATACCATGCGTGAATAGCCGGCCAGAAAAGGGGAGATGGTCCAAACCATGACAGAAAATGGAGAGCAGAAAGTCTCCACCCAAAAGGTAAGGCCTGTCTGATGATCAATCAAAGAGAGCTACAGCTGCATGACTAGACTGGAGAAAGCCATTTCTGATGCACGGTGGCAACACCAGGGGGGCAGGTTCTGGAATTGGGGAATCAGTCTTATTGTGATTATCCTGCCATCAGAGGAGAGCATGGCAGGCGATGGCACCTACCCTGCCCCTTAATCCTGAACAAGAATGCCTGTGGCCATGGAATCCATGGGTCCATGGCATGGATGCGGGGAGCAAGGAGGTGGTGCCTGCAGGAAATCTCCCGAAAGTTTTGCCTTTTCGGGAGGGATTATTGGGAGTTGGGCGTGGGTGCGGTTCCATTTTCAGAGTAAAACGCGGTTATCGGGGCCAGCCCCACGATGTTGCTGGCCCCTGGGGCCATTACCAGTTTTGCAGGCTTTCTGCGAGCGGCTCACACTCTCGGTGTCTGCGCGGAAAGATCAGCTTCCGGGCCGCTCCCGCCCCAGAGCGTCAGTCCCGTGGGCCACGGCTCATTTTGCAGATTGCAGGCGACCGCACAGAGTGGGGCGCCCGTGCGGGAAGGTGGCCGGCAGGAAAGCGGAAGCAGCCTGGAGCCGGGCGGTGGGGCGGGATGGATCCCCCGTGCCGCACCAGGGGTCGTTCGATCAAGGCCACGGTTTCAGCAACCTCCACCGCGTTTCATCATCGACGGCCGCCCCGGGGGGGGATCGCCCGGGGGTGAGAAAGCGCACCCGACGTTTCGCTCGGGCCAGTACATTGACGCGACCCACCGGCGGGACCCACCGGTCAGCGGCCAGAGTTGACCAATGCGCGCGGGCGCGGGCGGGACGCCAGCGGGGGCTGCGGCGCGGGCGTCGGTGCCGCGTCGGCAGCCGCGACAGGCCCAATCCGGCCGCCGGCCCGGCCGAGGTGGCGGGAATCGCCCACAGGACCCACCCAGGGGGGGGCCGGTGGCGCACTGGCAGGGCACAGGCCGCCCCATCCTGCCGTCAGGGGGCCCTCAAACGCGCGCCGATCGCCGCAGCACAGCCCAAGGCTCTCGCTAAAACACCCCGCCCAGCCCCGAGCGCGAGCCTCCCTGGGGGTGAAAAGCGCGGCAAACGCTTGCTCCCTAATCCCCACAAGCGCAACGGCCACCCCCGTCCCCTTCATGCCAACGGGCTGGAAGGTAGTGGCGCGGGGAGCGAGGGGCAGGCGGTAAGGTGAGCTCATTCTCGGAGATCGGCCCCCCTCGCGGCGGTGGAGCCGCCGAACAGCCGGCAGCATCCCGGGATCCGGCGACGCTCCGCGAGGCGCCCCCTCCCCGGCGGCCATCCCCGCCCGCCCGGGGACGCCCAGGCGCCAACGACCCTGATTCTCTCCAGGTCCCCATCCCCGGCGCTCGAAGCGCATCTACCCCAATCTCGCGGCGATTCGCGTGCCCGCGGCGTGGGATTCGGGACGGGGCCGGATGGCGCGAGGTCGAGCGACGCGGGCGGCTCGCGCGACGCTTGTCCGGTCAACGGCGGTCCAAGGCGTCGCGGCGGCAGCCTGGGAGGGTGTAGGGTGGTCGCCAGACGACTGATGCGCCCCAGTCTCCGATCCATCCCGCGCGTTCACACCTGGCGTCAGCGCTCGCCCACCCTCTCCCCCCCCGTGGATGCGATCTCCGCGGCTGGTGACAAAGGCGCCGGACCCTTCAGGCAAGTCGGAGGCCGTCAGCGATGCCGACGGGCCAACGGCGCAAAGGGACGCGCCTCCGAGAAGGGGGAACAGGTCGCAGGGGACCCGGTTGGTTCAAGCTGGCGGGGGGTGGGTGGATGGGCAGGGGCGAGGTGTGTAGGGAGCGGAGTGCGGACCGGGCGAGTTAAAAAATCAGACGGTGGGATTCTGGCACCGGCCCCGGGAGGCCGGCCGCCGGCCTGACCGGGCGGGATGACCAGGGCTGCTGAGGACAATCTGGCGGGTGGGCGAACACGCTGGGAAGGCGGTCGGACGGGCCTTAAGTACCCAGGAGCCGGGGATGCGGGAGGCGGAGGCTCCATTGTGGGCTGGTCGCCGTTCGGCCGCGAGGGTGGCGTGGCAGTCAGACACGCGTGTGCTTTGGAACTGCTCCCGTGTTGCCTCGCTTTGCCTCTGATCCCCGTAACCCCGCCCAACCCACCTGTCCTTCCTTGCGCTGGGTCTGCCCTAGTGCCCTGACACCTGTGCGGCGTCGTGAAGGGGGCAATGCATTAATTGCGAGTGGATGGGAGTGCATGAGGAACTTGCAGACTTCCTCGGACTGGACGTCGTTTTCCTACTCTGGAAAGCTGATGCCTTCCCGCCGTTGACAACATTTTGATGGTGACACGACTTTTCGGATCTGTCTGTGTTCAGCGGACGCTGATTGTACTGCCTTGTTCGCTACCTTTTTACTTGAAGTGCACTGCCTTGTTAATGGGCCGCTGCCAAGGGCGATGTTGGACAAGATGCCACTGCACATTGAGTCGGTTCCCCCGTTTGTACTGGCCTTTCTGGCACGCCATATGAGTTTCTATCCCACTGTACTTTGGGCCAGTACAAGTTCGAGGCCTTCAAAGTTGGACACTGGAGATTTCGTGATGTGGGAAGTGGCGGGTTTTGAAGGGGCTGCCTGGCGGCGGCTATCTAGTCAGAGCCCTCGGTCCCCATCCCTGTATGGTTTCGCCCCCGCTCTTCCCCCTCCCCAGAGTCACGTTGCCAAGATGTGGGTTGAGAAGGAACTTGTGTGCGGTATTTAGGAGCTGAGTCGCAGAGGGCAATAGTCATTTACTAGCTCGACTACCAGCCAAATCTGGCGTTTAAACGACTGGACACAGTTTTTCATGGGAACTTCGGGTTTGATGATGGCGATGGACGCCAGCTGTGCTCCCTAACCGAGCTGATGTGCTATTCTTTGTCGTGTGTGGACACACGTGTGCGAGTCGCGGAAACGGGCGATGCTGAAATGAGCGCAACTGTCACCAGCAGAGTCCGGTCGGCATCTGTGGCCATGAACCCAACCACTGGCCCACCCAGCTACATGTTGTGGCATTGAGATATCGTTGACAGCCTGCGGCACTCCCTTTTGTTCGGGGCTAGCGCTCTCTTGAGTCAATTGGTTACTCTGCATCGAAGCAGCTTTGCGTACCTCGTGGCATTCACTATTTTTAGAGTCAGAGACCGTTGCTACGTGACGCTGCTTGTAAATTGAAGCAGCGTGTGCATTTGGGCTGATCCTTTTCTGGACCCACGGCGTCAATGACTGGTGTGGCCTTGCTGCATAATTGCTGCAAAAGCGATGGCCATGCCAAAGCCCAGTGCGCTCCAGCCCTTTCCCGCCAGGATTTTCGCTGCAATGATGCCCCTTCAGACGGGAATACCGGCAACTGGGAATCAAGCATCTTCTTGTTATTCGGTCAAGGTGCAAGCCACCTTCAGCACGGTGAATAGACGGATCGGACGCAGTGTCTTTTATGATCAAGCACCTCAAGCAGCAGAACAGCCCCCAAGTGCCCCTTCTATGAAGCAATCCTCTCTAAGTATTACAGCAGAGTCCTTAACAGAAACAAAGCCGCAACAGGTGGACAGCCCACAGGACGTGCACAGGATCGCGCTCCGGCCTTTAAAAAAGAATGAGGTCGACCCTGGCACGCACATGCCAGACAAAAAAATGTGTACAAGATTCCCCCTAATGTTTACAAAATGGTGTAGCGCCGATCTCGGCCCCGGCTCGGTGCCCCGCGACCGGCAGCGGCTGCAAGCTGTCGACCTCGACCGCCAGGGCAGTCGCTCTGCGAGGTGCCTCGGCGCAGTCAAAATGGTCAGTGGGGCGCGCCCCAAAAACCAAGGGCAGGTGCCTCGCCATGAAATGCGGCCCCGAATGAAATGCTCGCCAATGCCGCCCCCCCCCACCCCACCAACCATCCACCGATTCTTCTGGATGAAGGCCGGAACGTATCAACGCGAACACCCAGCAACTCGGCCCCCCCGCGCGACGACGGCGTCCTCACGGCGCCCCCATCATGACACGATGGATCCCACCCACCCACCGAACCGGGTCAAGCCTGACGCCTGGCGACCTGGTTCGGCGGCGCCATGTGAGCACGCGTCGTCGCAACACCCATCTTACCCAACAATTGCAACCAAATCGATTACGCATTCCGTCCACGTCGTCACTTCGGTCGTCGCTGCCGTCGTCTCTTCCTTCCGTATCTTTGTCGTCAGACCGTCGATCCGATGTTCTTCGTCGTCCACAAGACGTCGGCAAGACGACCTTTGTTTTCACGAGCCGACGAGCCGACGAGACGATGGCCTTGTTCGCGTCGCCCTCGACGCGCGCTGCCTTTTCCGTCGATTCCTAGGCCGAGGAAGAATCCCGCTTGCGCGTCGTCGCCTCGTCCACCAGGTACACCAGGCCCCGGAAGTTGATCCCGCTGTGGTTGGACAGCGTGATCTCGCACGTGCGCGAGGTGGAGTAGCCGTCCTTGCAGCTGGCCGGCAGGTTCAGGTGCTGCAGGGAGGCACCCGTCAGCTCGGGGTACCGCATGCCCTTGTCGCCGGCCATGCCGCAGCAGGGGATGCCCGAGGGCACGACCTCGTGGGCGCACAGGCCCGCCAGTTCCGCGAAGGCCCGCTCCACGCCCATCTTCTTGGATGAGCACGGCACATGGATGGCCACCTGGTCGCGCACCTGGGGTGAGGGCAAACCAGCGGCGGACTCAGAGAAACATAGCAAACAGAAAGACTGGTTTGGGGACTGAAAAAGGAACGTGTCGATGGCATGGAAGACTGTACATCCCAAGGCAGGGTGGTGGCCATCGGCGCCCTATCCCGGGTGCCGATTCGAAGTGCCCTGCTTTGAGACAGCAGACTGCAGCTCCAAGACATGATGTTGTGCAAGCTCGTGCGAAATCATCTCTCAAGCTCTGGAACGCGCTGCAGATAAATCAATCCCAAGCAAACAATCAATCAAAATTCGTGCTGAGCAACTAGACTACCTTGAATGACAGATGGAGTTACCGAGTCAGGTTGGTCTGAATGCGATGTGATCCCCGTCACCCTCACATTCAACAATGCCACCCTGGCGCCAGGCAGGTGGTACCAGATATGAAAATAGACAGCTTCTGTGGAAAGGAAACATATTGCATAAAGGTGCCCACCAAACCTTGCACAGAGAAATGCAAAACAAGCCCTACACCACCCGCTGCGCACCTTCTTGAACTCCAGTTTGTCCTTGAGGAACTGCCGGATGAACTGCACAGGCTCATACATGGAGCTGGCAAGGGCGGTGTTGGCAATGCCGCCCTTGGCCTCGATGAGGCAGGGGCTGGTGTCGAAGACGATAGGGATCATCCCGCCCTCAGAGGCCTGCATAAGGGCCTCCTCCAGTTCTGCCACTTTGCTCCTGGCGGCATCCTTGTAGCCGCGGCTGTTGAACATGCTGCCACAGCACATGTTGCTCAACCCCTGCAGAAAGCAACACACCCAACCTGGTTGTAAACACCAAAGAACGTGGTGAATTTCGCAACAACAAAGACAGCAGCAAACCTGCCCAATACTCCGATCGCAACAGTGCCATAACACTACTGTACTGCAGCATTACTGTTCATTGCCCAATCTAATTCGATTAAAGGCAATCCGACTACATCTTTGCTCAACTAATTTACTTCACTGCATCATCAAGCTGGCGCATGGACTCAAGCAAACAACATGCCTTTCAATTCCCTAGGAATAGCACACAGTGGAGTCCCACAGGGCACTCCCAGAGTAAGAGCCACAATGCACAGAAACTGCTGTGAGAGGTGACCCAGCAGCAAAATAGCACCTTGGGGTAGATCACTTGAAACTGTGCCTTGTCAAACAACGACATCAACTTCTGGTGCACCGATTGTGTTTCGGTGTCAGACCCTGATGGGCCCATCATCCTGGTGACGCAGGAAGGCACGTAAACGACCTTCCGTGGGATGCCCCTCTTGTCAGAGGTGGTGGGCACAGTCGGAGGATCTGTGGCCAGACCAACAACGATCAGATGGCTTTGTTCCCATCATTCGATTAGTGAAATACAGAGCAATCATTGCAATTGATGTGTGGAATTGACAGAAGAAATGATGATCAAGAGCCAGAAGCAGCTTGGCAATGCCTGGGGACACAGGGGGGCTTGCTGGGTGGAGTGGGAGGTGTTGGCACACGACAAAAGAATGACAAACCCTTTCAGTTGAATTGGTTACAGTGCTAAAGTGCTCAGAGCTATGCCTTGTGATTGTCAGAGCATTCCGGTAAGGATGGTAGAAATGAAAGTTCTTCATCCAACAGGGCAAGGTGCTGCGGATGACAGGACAGTGCCTGGCAGTGCAGGACTCCTCTTCAGTGCACCAGTCTGAATTAAGGTGTTCAGCAGTGTACTGTGCAATGAGCTATGTAGAAGCACAGCCAGTGAGAGCTGCAAACACAAAACTACTCAAGTGTGTACACCAACACCAAGGTTCTAGCCTTAAGGCCCCCTGACCACTGATGTAATGGATCCCACTGGTTAGACTTGATTGCAAAACCATTATAAACAAGGGAGGTAACAGTGTGTCGACGCCCTGAAGATGACTTGACTTCAAGGTGGTAGTCAATGGAAACAACAATACCTTCAAGACAAAAGATGATAGCAAAAGTCTGCAAAAACGAGTACATCAGCATCATTTTGCCAATCCAAGCTTTGTTGATTCAAAGCATTGCATCAGGGAACAGCTGAGGGCAGCCAGCAAGGGACCACCACAGTTGAACGTGCAGCATATTGATCCCACCTTGCAATTTGGCAGCCCCCTTGGGCATGTAAGGGTTCCAGGCTGGCACTTGATGGTCTGTCACGCGGTTGAGCCATGACGAGATGCCTGCCAGTGGTTTTGGTCCCACCAGATTGTGTGCCAGGTTCACACCGTTGAGGAAAAAGGGCACACCAGACTGGAAAAGGGAAAAGTTGTTGGCCAGCATCTGAAGCGGACACACAGGGGGGGCCATGGTGACGTCATGGAGTCAAAGCACAGTGCTGACAAAAGCTGCCATGAGTTGGCACAAAAGTCAGCAGACTGAAAGAGACTGATGAACATCAAACAACATTGGGAAGCACTCATTCGTTGAAAAGCACAACAACTGCCAAGTTTTGCAGTGAACAGCTCCAAGGCCAGGGGAAATTGTGGGAAACAGAGACCTCTGAGACTACAAGGTTCCAAACACTGGGTACATAAACGATACAGATCTGCAGGCAACTGCAAGGCCCAATGGCGATCGCCAGATGAACATGAACCCACCATGGCCAGGCTTCTCGAGTTCTGCGCTTTTTCAAGGCTTTCTGCCCGGAGACTCTTGACCAGCTCCCCAGTGTTGATCTTCACCTAAGTGGTAGAGCACAGAAGGTACAGTTCAAACACAGGGACATAACCAGCAAGCTTACACACCAACCTGATCAGGTTGACACATAGCGGCGGCAAATGCTTGTAGTTTAAGTTTGCATTATGCACCTCCATTCAGAATGCGCCGAACATTAAAAAAAATGCAACAATATCAACTGTCATCAAGACATCACACAACACCAGATGGGCACAATGCAATGTGTCCTCACCGGGCATTTCTCCTGGCACATGCCGTCCGCAGCGCACGTCTGCTCGCCCAGGTAGTCAAAAAGGCTTTCGAAGTCCTTGAGCCTGGGTGAGGAAGACAGCCAGGATTACATGATGAAATACAAGACAAACAGTTGATAAACTAGCTATTTACTTCCTCTGTCCCAGATTAATAGTCGTCTATTTGAAAGGCTAAATTTGTTACATGGACAGCCTCAGAATTTCAAAACAAGGTCAAAAACGAAAAGATTGCATCTCAAAACCCTTCACTATCAATTTTCAAGAAGGAAAAGTGAGACATGACCCTTTTGAATGCAAGGCGAATATAAATTTGGGTCATTTTTGACGCAAAATATAGAGATTTACTATGTAAAAAGACCGTTGATACAAAGTACTGACAAATCCTCAATACTTAATGGATTGACTTGAAATTTTTATTGTGTACTCCCAACTCAAAAACACAACCGTAGGCGAAATTTCATTGGAAACATGTGCGGGCATGATTGAGAAATAATGCCCCAAAATCATAGACGACAATTAATTTGGGACGGAGGAAGTATTACTTTCCAGAACAATACAATCAACTGCTGGGCAGGCTACAAGCCAGTGGTGGGCGTTCCCCACCTCCAAGAATGATTGCACCCAGCCTAGCCTCACCCAGGTGGCCACTTGATTTTCAACAGCCCCGAGCACAGTGTATTGGCGGAAGCAAGTTGGGCAGTGTGGTCTAAATATATGCAAGTTCCTACTGACAGTGAATTTGAACTAATGGTTAAGGAGCTCCGAACAGCACCAAAGAACATAAGCCCTCACAGGCACCTCCCAAAAAGAGGCACCTTACGATAACACCAAAGCGAAATATTTGCTCAATATCCTGTGCACAGCCTGACAAGCTGCGTGTCGCCCACAACATGCACATATGCTGCAACCGATGACATCCACATTTTCATCTAGTCATTTGCGCGTGAAATCTCTCAGCCACGGTAGGCAGCTGCTACAAAGGGCCAACCAGCAACTGGTGACCATGGAGGGACTTGGATACACACCTTTGCTGCTCATCCAAATTTTTGTTGTTGATCCCCCGTAGTCGGGAGATCTCCCTGTAGACTGTGATCCGCTGCCGGGGGGTCAGCGTCAGGTCCCTCGAGGGGCAATTGCTTTCACAAAAGCCACACTCGATGCACCTATGGACAAACAAGTTAGAAAATGAGTCGTCAGGAGCTGGAGCCTAAGAAAAGTAATACCTGGCAGACAAGCAGATGCCCAATAAAATTGACGCCTGAGAGATTGGTCATCACAAACCAAAGGAGCAATCGCACTTGCACTCAATAGCAGGTGCTCTAGCATGACCCCCCTCCAGAGCCTTGACAACCCTCCCTTAGTCACAGAGTTGCCTGCCTGCTTGAAGGTTGGCAGCCATAAAAACAGTCGTTGGGAAGTGCGCCCACTACAGTTAGTAGGACTACTCAACCGCAAGAGCGACGCCAAGATATAGGGTGCCAAGAACCACTGAGATAGAAAACCACAAAGACATGACCCGAGGGTGAGACACCCCCAAAAAAGAAACAATGCGAAAAATAAGGAAAAAGCATCAAGGGAGTGGCTTTGTGACCGGAATGCAAGCGAGTTGACAAGGCGCAAGCCCTACAAGTGTAACAACATGGGCATAGGGATCCTTGCAGGACATGTACCCTGCTAGTTGACACCTCCTCCCCAGAGCTGGGGGATTTACCACAGAATACCACACCTGTCCACGATGTTTGAAGCCGGGGGGGACGGCTTCAAAAATTTGACGTGGGCTGCAGGGTCCGAGTTCAGGACCACCCCGGGATTGAGGGTGAAGCTGGGATCAAAGAGCTTCTTCAACTCCCACATCAGCTCATAAGCCTGCAAGGACGGAAGGGTGTGTCAGACATGAGTGACAGCCATGGAAGAACGGGAAGATCTTAGCTCAACTAACTGTATAGGCCGAAATCAGCAGAAATTGTATTCACAACTTCAGTGCCCCAATGTTTAGACAGCAAGTGCTCAACACCATTGCAAGGAACCATTCAAAATTGAAAGATAACGTGTTGAATAGCCCCTTTCATGTCCAATATATCCAATACACATACAGCCCAGCAACCTCCCCATTCGCTTCTCCCCTGGCTCCAACGCCTAGGGACTGGCATTCCTGGCGTGACTATGCACACCACACGCAGCCACGCTGAATTCGCCCATCGCAAGTGAAAGGACATTGGCATGTCCTTTCACTGACAGATGCAAAATCCAACACTTAAACCACAGCTTTCATAACCACCATCACCTCTAGGAAGTATGAGCAGTCTAGCAGCTCAACCAAACACTCCAAGCTCACTTGAGTTCAAAAACTTGAAATTGGTAAAGGTTGCAGCAAACATGACATCTCAAAGCCCGCCCTTAAGACTGTCCCACCACAAAACTTGACACAAACATCACCTAATCTCTTACCTTGGTCCCCCACTCCATTTCGACAAAGGGCGCCATGTTGCGTCCGGTTCCGTGCTCGCCCTTCAGGGATCCACTGTGCTTCGTGGCGACAATGTACGCCATCTCGCTCATCATTTGCGAGAAGCGTTCCACCTCCTCCCTGTTCCTGAAACCCTGCAGGCCAGGCACATGCCCCTCAATGAATGCATGCCACCGGCAGTGTTTCAGCATAGCCAGTGAGGAATATAGACGAACATGGTGTGCACAAACCTTTTGTGAACATGAATTGTGCTTGACATGGCTGAATGGGTGGAAGCAAAATATGCTGCTTTCTTTGTTTTGGCACAAAAATGTAGCTGACAAGGACTACCAAAAATTTGCAATAACGGCACTGGAGCTGCGCAGGCAGCTAATCCAAGCTTCATTTACTTCATTGAGCTTCTTTACTATTAAATTGGAAGCACAAGAAAAATGTAGCTGATGCTTCTTGTCTGCATGCTAGCCTGATTGGCCACGAACACTTACAGCAACCCCATATTGTCTCTGGATCCACCGCTGCACATTCAAGCATCAACTTCTTGGTTGTTGCAAATCCATTAACTCCCTGTCAGTTGCTAGATTCTTTTGCTGCCAGTGCTGCAGTCCACTGGACCCCCTCAGTACTCTTCTACTTGCTTTCTAGGGGCTGCTCTCAAACCTGTCAGAATTTTTCCTAGTGACCCCTGGACGCCCTTGCACTGTGTGTCTTCCAGCTTTTCCAGAGTACCTAACAGCAAATGGCAACACGGCAAAAAGCAACGTCCTTGGTGCCAGCTTGTGACCACAGTCACCGATTCTGGGGCCGTCAAGCACCCTTGCCACGTGCACACATGCAACAAAGTGAAATCCATTCCTACCTGGCTGAACACCAGGTGAAGGTTCCCCTCCAGCGCATGCCCAAAGCATGAGGCATCGGTGTACTTGTATTTTTCAAACATGGCGATCAAGTCGATCGTCATGCCCGCCAAGTTCTCGACTGGGCAGGCAACATCTTCAATGAGCATGGACGTGCCCGTCTCCCGAGCACCTCCCACCATAGGGATGAGGCCCTTCCGCACATCCCAGAAAACGTTGTACACCTACAAGCAGCAGGAACAGCATTCAACAAAGGGTAATACGCCTCCATGCATTGTGCTGCCTCTATCTTTGTCTTTATCATTGACTGGAGTTGTTGCGCACTCCTTTGACCACAGCTGCTCACATAACAATCCAAGTACTTGCACCATTCAAGCCGATCTGGTAGCAGCTGAAAAATTTCTTGTCTGCAACTTGTGAGCATATTCCATGGACATAGTCTGCAGTTTTCACACTCACAATCTTCCAACAACCCTTGGTCCAATATGCCACGTTGCACTACCTTGTGGTAGGCGACCTGCCTGTGTTCTGTTTGGATTTGGTATGTGAAATCTTGAATGTACTGTCCACACGCATTTTTGGAACTGGGAAGGGGCAAATTCCGCGTAAGCCATCAATAGCTGCATTGATAGTAAAATCGAGGCAGGTGTTTTGCTGCCCTGATATACTGGCAGACTGCACATATGTGGATATTCATATTCATAATACTTGCCCTGTTCACAAAATACCCGACCTTCGATCTGACAAGGCGACGACAGGTGTTCGTTATGTCCAAGACAGGTGTTCCTATTGTGCGCAACATAGGTGTGCATGTACATGGTGGCAGGATGAAGAATTAACAAACATCGGTTGCCTTCCAAGGATGGTATTGAGCATAGGCCACAGCAAGGCTGTGAGTCGGGCTTTCGCAAACCGCTGCACAGTTCCTCCATATTGGGACCATACAACAGCATCTTGAATTGCCTGATACAGGCAGCGACTTTGTCTGGACCTCAAATAGCAATCACCGATCATTCTCAACAAGGAAAATCGAAAGATCGCACAGCAACATGCAAGCCAGGGGCTCACCTCTGGGTCATGGGAAAATTCAAAGTCAGTGACTTTTTTGGGGTCGCTGGCCTTTGAACCAAACCTCAGGTCCGAGTTCTCCAGGACAGAGGTCACCTCCTTAATTCGCTGCTGCAGGGCTTCTGGCGTCTGGCCACGGCACTCAACGAGCAACGAGGCAGCCATGGGGTCGGCGCCAATCACGCAGGGCACCAAGGAGGGCATCTTGTCATGGCCCTCACACTCTCGCAGGCATGCCCGGTCGAACATCTCCACTGCATCCACCGTGGTGTTGTCACGGAGGGCGGATGCAGCCCTGCGTGAAATACCACAACCAGTGATCACACAGCATGTTGAGATTCTCTCAGGATCTAGGTCTTCTTCGTCCAACATGAGCCACCATCGTTTGGGTCAATATAAACTGTGTATATCTGCTGGCGCTCTTCAATGGCACAACTCCTTTCCTGTGCGAACAGGAACTGTTGCACTGCCGAACATAGGATCAGATCGGAATTCAGCCAAAAGGATATTACCAGTGTGCCAGTCTTTCACAGCACTTCGAATACCACATCTGTGCAGAAATAAGCAGAAACCATATTTGGGGGCCATGGGCATCTGTCTCTGGGGTTTGACAACGATGTCAAAAACGATGAACGGAGGGGTAATCAATTCACGCTTGATCAAAGGAGAGCAGCGTGGCAGTGCGAGCGATGGGGTAACCAACAACGCTGGTAAATATGCAGGTAACTCCCTTACACCACCTGGGGCATGCTGGGCACTCTTGCCATGCAGCTGGGCAAATATCATCACAAGACAATGGATGCTCAGGAGTGACAGTGAGGAAGGGTACCTGCAAGCATCCTCAACGTGCGGGAACACGATGAACGCAGACGCCTTGTGAGGCCAGTCTGGCACCGTGTTGTAAGTAACACGGGAAATAAAGCCGAAGGTGCCCTCAGATCCGATCATCAATCTTTTGATGATCTCGATGGGGTCCGAGATTGGGAAGTCCACCAGGGCATTCAGCGAATACCCTGCACACACAACAGCCAGCTACGTCATGCCATCGCTCCTGCCAGTTCATCCTGTGCTTCTGCAGTATTACACTTTAAGCGAATCAGTTGCACTTGTGCAGAAGTTCAGCAGTGGCATGTGCGCATCACCCAAAGTGACAAGCCCACTGGTCCAAGAGCACTGATCAGAATCATCCCCCAGTGCCTCAATTATCAGCAAAAGAACTGGAATCTGCTATATATGTCCACAATGAGATCATGCCCCCGAGATCAGGAATCCAAACCTTGGCATCCTGTACCCCCCCCTGTGGGACTCACCTGTGGTGCACTTGATGGCAAACTTTTTCCTTATGAGGTTGGAAAGTTCACGATCCCCCTGGACGCGGCTGGCGATCTTGACAACCCCTGCCACCAAATCCTTGTGACTCTGCAGCGCACACCAACAATCCAAGAATAAGTGGTGATGTGCTTGCAGTTCCTCTACTCCAGTATACCACAGAATGCCAATTGATTTGTGAATTCGGGAAGAAGCGTAAAGCGTACTCCCAGGGCAAATATAACAAGGCCAGGACTTTTGCCCACATCTGCAGGCATCTAAAGTCTCAACATGGTGCACGCATCCAGGGAACGAGACTCGCCATGTGTTGAGGCGAGGCGAGGAGGGACACGACTCTGGCACACACCTCAAGGAAAGCCTTCCTGCTGTTGGCATCTGCCGTGTCCAGGACTGTGCCATCCACAAACACAACCCTCATGTCCTTGAGGGTGTGGTAGGTGTTCTGAGCCACCCCACAGCACATCCCTGAACTGTTGTTGGAGACGATCCCCCCAATCATGCAGCTGTCAATACTCGATGGGTCCGGCCCGATCTTGTACTGGATCTCGTGGCCGCCCTTGTTCTTGTGAGCTTCAAGAATTCGGTTCACTTCGCCGCCAATCAAGCCTGGCTCGACAGTGATGGTGCTCCCATCACCCTGCACGCATCAATGAGGGGCAGTGAGACACACGGGCAAAATATACACATCTGCGTTGTGGATAGAAACCTGCCCAGCACCGTAAGAAAGACGCAAGGGCATTGCTTCACCGTGCAAAGACAGCTGGAATCAAGCAACCATACCACCGGAAGTATAAGCTGCACATACATGTGCAACAACGGAAGCAATCAAGCAATCAAGTTCCAGCAGGAATAATGGTGTCCAATACTGTCGCAGCATTATGCTGAATGCCATGATCTCTTTTCTCTAGTGGGTGCGTATTCAACCCCCAAAACTAAACAAACGAAGTGTCTTCAGCTTCAGTAAAAGAAACGCAGCAAACATAGCAAACAGCACTGATGCAAGATTCACTCCCCACACAACACATGGACAGAGCCGCGGGGACCTGTCTCCCTGCAGCCAGAAGCCTGAGGGACCCGCAACACAAAAACACAACAGAGCGGACGCAATGAACCCACATGGACGTCACACCCAGATAGCAAGACAAGAAAAGTTTCCAGGTCAATGCGAAGTGTGACACTGGCATGCATTCCCGCCGCCGGCCCGACAAGATTCAGCGACGGACTGGCGACTGCATTGCCCATATTCCGAACACAAAAAAACACACAAGTCACTGCTCCCTGCCCCCACAATCGCATCACCCCCTTCGTCAATCCATTGACAGCCAAATCCGCACAATGCCCAGCCGCGAGGCCCCCCTCCCCATGGCCCCACCCGCGCCCACTCACGTGCACGTCGAACGCCCTGAAGTTCCGCCCCGTGTGCGAGAGCTTCAGCAGGACGGAGTCTGTGACCGCCTGCCCGGACAGCGACGTTCCCGCCGCCCGGAACGTCACCGGCACGCCCAGCGCCCTCGCGATGGGCATGATCCTGGCCACCTCCTCCTCCGTATGGACCTTCACTACTATCTTCGGATTGAGACGGTAGAAACTAGCATCCGTCCCGTACGCAAACATGCGTACGGGATCGTCCGCCACCCTCCCCTCGGGGATGAACCCCGAGATCTCGGCCCTGAATCGGCCATATCGGCCATCCTCCACCCTGCAGCCGTCCACGTTGCGGTACTCGGCCGACTCTCCCGAGGTGGACGCCGTAGAGTCCACCGCCGACACCGTGCCGTACAAATCCCTCTTCACCGCTGGCACGGGGTGCCAGACCGGCCTGTAACGCTCATCCTCCACCTCCTCCTGTACGGCCGTCATGACCCCTCGCTGCCCGGAGACGGCCGGCGCCTCGGGCTCATTCACCGCCGCGGTGGTCGAGATCGATCGGCCGGCGGCCGCCAGGGACCGCTGGACGCATGCGCGCCCGGCGCCCACGATTCGGGTCATGTTCTGGACGGCCATCCTGCAGCTGGGCGCCTGGGGGCCTCAACAAGCGCGCGAGGGGCTCTGGGAGGGGAAGATCGCTGGAGGAGAGGCGAGAAGGGGCGGCGCGGGGTGCAACGCGGGGATCGGCTGATCGCAGCGGCGGTGCGTGGGAGGTTAGCCTTTGGGGGGGGCGGCAGGGAGTTGCTGGGCGAGGCGCAAACAATGAATGGCAGGAACGCCCGCTGCCACGGCTTTGCGGTGCTGACTGGACGGAGGCCTGGGGCGGGCAGGGCCCACTTTTCGCGGGGCTTTGCTCTGGGCCAGTGACGTGGACCGGGGGCGGGGTAGTAAACGCGCGGGCGTGATGTTAGGGTGAGATCTTTGTGTGGCTCGGGAGGAGGGTAGGGTGCCAGCGGGGAGGAGCCGGGGCCGTAGGATGGCTGCGCCGCCTGGGGGGTTGGGCCGGGGAAGGCGAGGGGAAGGCGGATCCCGCGACGGCGGCAGCTGGGCGCTGACTACTTTCCAAGTGCTCTGCTTTGCCCTGTTTCTCTATTTAAAAAACTTTTAGTCAACATGGTTTCAATCCAATTCCCGCCAGAATCATAAAAGAATAACAGTGCATACCCTGACAGAAAAACTGCAAAACGGCGGGTTGATCTTGACTGATTGGGAAGCCAAACGGTATTTCGTATTTCTGCTACGCCACACCCATGTTGGAGTCTTTGCATTGTCTTCTACTTTGTGGCAGAACCGAATCCTGGGCGCCTCTCTGGGAAGGGGTGCCCACTGTACCTGTGTGGCACGCCTTTTTAGGAAAGCCAGCGACTGGAGACAGCCAGGGGAATTTCTACACATTGTGGGAGCAAACATCTGCAGATGTGAACAGCTCCTGTCCTCCCCCAACAGGTGGAATGGCAGTGCACTGTCACACAACAGCAAATGCCATCTATGAAAAAATCCGTTGCAACCACCGCACCTCGTGTGGGTGGAGAGTACTCAGCAACAAGAGTCGCTGTAGCAGGCCAAGGGCCCGTGTGGTGGCACTCAAGAGAGACAGAGATCCCAACCAAATTGACAGATCAAACCATTACCACACAAACTCAACACAACAGAGTGGCCAGGTGCATCCATTTACAAATTTCGGCTACACTTCTTGCTTCAGGAGAAGTAAGATGTTGGCGGCGGTGGAGAATCATCTGTGGCACGCAGAAATGCATGGTCTGAGCCAGTAAGAGCAAGAATTGCCTCCCAGTTCGTGGGACTTGGTGGCACGCATTCTGAAGCTCAAAAGGACAGGCAACTGAGGTCAAACAGTGCGCATCAGGTCATCCACACGGGTTGCATGGATTTCAGATGGGGGCTCAATATTCGAATGTTCAATATTGCAGACTAAGCACACAGAACAACCCAACCCATTTGTGTCCATCTTTGTCACCAACCATATCCCATTAGCACCATAGGCAACTGATATGTAAACACAAGGAACCAGTGTCATGGACAGTGGTGGAGTTGGTGGCAAAGCTTAAGTGGGCAGTGCTACTTCGTTAACTGTTGCCATACACCGCTGAGGTAGATGGTGCTCAAGATCACACAAACAGATCGATGCAGGCAACGCACCTATTGCCACCTCATCACCCTCCTCATCCTCCTCACCCTCCTTCTTCAGCTGCCAGCCAGAATCCTCAAGCATAAAAAATATCTTCTCAAAGGCTTCTTTGTAGGATCCATCCAGTGTGGCTGCCAACTTGGGGTAAACATGCTCGGTGAGCTGCAGCAGCACAAACACGTATGTTGCAGACTTCATGTCACCTGTGGCAGAAGGAGGGGCATGTCAGGCTCAACACATACTCAACTGAACTAAGCTGCTATTACATACAATCCGTGTGGAGTAGCACGAAGATAAGTCAAGAATTGAACTGCTCACTCTTCAACACACGAAACAGAATGTTTTGCGCATAGGCACATCTAACCTGTCAGCGATGGGACCACTGCTATGCAAGAAAAGTACCAATAGCTCAGGAATGTGTGCAACAACCAAGGCGTCTACATTTTCCTTGGGTCAATCATGGTGTCACTGCATGCAACCCAACACCAAGCTGTGCAACATGCTGACCAGATGCACTGTGCAGTCACTTCTGCATTCAAGAGTCGGTTGCTGGAGCCAGCAGTATGCTGTGCCTCTGGCACTTCTGACTGACGATATGCTTTAATCCCATAACCCAGAGGCATGTCTCAGAGTCTACGGCTGGCACTGCTTTGCAGAACTGTAGAATTTCAGCCACTGTAAATAGTAGTTCAATGCCTCATGTCTGTGACTTCAGGACTGCAGTTGCTTTACATATTTGTTTTTCCTGGTTCCGAGTTTACTGAACCCAATTTGGTACACAAAACTGGGCTTGGCTGTATGTCCTGAGGCTTTGCTTAACATGTTATTGCTTCGACCCTCTTCTCCATGCTGTGCGAAACACTGCAGCTGCATGCTGATCTCTTACCCTCATTGGTGAAATGCTCTCCAATGGCATTCAGCTGTTCCTGTAGGTCCACGAGCTCCTGCACGTCATCACGGAGCATCACCCGTATGGCAGCATTGGAGACCTGAACAGGCGATTTCTCACAACTGAGAAATGCATCAAGTGCAGATTCATACACTGGAAACCTGTGAGCAGGAGCAAAACCACTTTCCAGACCAGGACTCACACATTGTAGGGAGGTCTACAATTTTTCCAGTGTTTTTGTGGGTCGAGCAGGGACAAGATCCCATCTTGTAGACATGCATGAAGATTATTAGCACAGGATGGAGACATACTGTTGAGCAATCTGGCAGCACTGCTGTGTGCGATCCAGTCAGCAACAATGGCAGCAACCACAGGGGGGTCCACGTAGTATGGTGTGGTCCATTATCAATTCTTTCATGAAGAGCACTGACATTTATAGCCATTCAACTGTCAGCCATTGGTATTCTGCTCCAAACATTCTGTTCCAGTTTGCTGACACAATCTCCCGAACATAACTGTTGGATAATGGCAGTTTTGGAGGCAGTTGTTTGGTTCGTGTGCATGCAGACATGTGGCCATCATCCCCCTTCAGGTGCAATGGCTGTACTGTGCCACATCTTAACAATGTGAACAGCAATTCACAACAGTGATATATTCAGCCAACTGGCTCATTAGAAGGCCTGGCACACATAACCTGCAGCACAGTCTGTCCACCTTGTTTAGGGCTTCTAGTGATCCAAGCGCAAGCTCCTCCTCGTCGCTGTCAGCCATGGCCAAGGCCATCCATTCCGAAGCCTACACTGTCCAGCAGAAAACAACACAACACAGTTTGAGTTGCAGTTGGTGATTCACTGTAATCAGCTGAAGAAAACATCCCGCACTGCACAGACTCCTGAGCGAATATGTTGAGACACCTTTCCAAGTTGTGGAATACTGCAAAGATGAATCAATGCAGAGAAAAGGCAAACATTTCCAAAAAGGACCCCCACCCACTCCCCACCCCCTCGTGAGGTGAGCCTAGTTGCCGTGCTGTGAAAGATGATGTGGAAGAGGAGATCTGGTGGGCAGCAACCATTATGTCCCTGTGTTCACCCTATGAAAATTGCACTCTTCGACTATCCGAAATGTGATTATAGTCCATTCTTTGGGCCTCGTTCCCTTCAATGTTTGAAATCCAGCCACAGAACAAGCTCTGCGAATTTGAATTCCTCAGCTACTCAAGGAAGCCGAGTTCCAGATGTGAAATGGATAGTGTGCAAAACATGGTGTGATCTGGATGGCTGATGTTAGACATGATACCATACTCGTACTTTCCATCTTGCTGTGCTCAGCAGTTGCTACAACATTTTCACAGCACCAGTGAGTCACCAACACCTTGATTCTAAGCATAGCTTGCAAGTAGAATATTCATGCAAAGAATTAACGAACATTTTGGACTACCATCACCTACAAGGTACAAAATCCCTCTTCCCCTGTGTTGGTAAGTGTCTTGCAGAAGTTTGGGCTTTGATTGCATATTTACGGAGCATTCCCATCCAAAAGTGATCATCGCCTACAAACGTTTCCACCAACGCACGGTGGGCGATGCAAATTGCATGGCCTGACACCTGCCATCAGCATGACCCTGAAAGTGGCCCAAAGCTAAAAGGGTGATGCCTTTGCCAACGACACTCGCCCCTCTTCACCTGAGGGCCAATCTTCATATTCGCTGCGCCAGTTGGCCATAATCCCTTAAATTAGTTGTGCTCGATCGCAAAATAGTTGCCAAGGAATCTGTCTCTTTGAACAAAATACCCTCATCGACGCAACCCCCCAAACATGCCGCCAAGCACAACTTGCAACAGCCCAAACCCATCCCGTGATTGCCATTGCTCTCGGCCTTCCCCCTGAACGCGATCCCCGCCACCCCTTGCGCGATACCTGATCGGCCTCCTTCCTCCTAGCCCGCGGACGAGTCGGCCCCCTCGACGCGGCAGGTTGCCAGCGATCCCGGCGCCGGCATCCCTTCGCCTCCGGCGGGCACGTCTGCGACGGGGCGATGATCGGTGCCCACACCGGGGCGCCTTGGCGAAGCGCTACGGGGCCTCCGCTCTGCATGAAGCGCCAGTGCTTGTCACTCGCCTGGCTCGCCGCTTTGCCCTCCACAGGCACCCTGCCTTCGCCCAAACAGGCCAACCGAAACAAGCAAGCAGCTGATGTGGCAAACCAAATCCATCCGCCAAATGTGTAGACTTGCTCGGCGCAGACTCTCTAATGTACTGTGGAAGGTCTGCCTTCTCGGCCCTTCGTGCCTCCCTGTCCCGTTTCTTCTGCTCGCCGTCTTTGTTTCTGTCAGCCAGTCGTCCGCGGAGCGTCGGAGCAGGACGGCACCGCAAGACCGGACGATTGCCACACGCTCGCGAAGCCGCAAATGTCGGCGAGATACGATCGAGCGATCACCGTCTTCTCTCCAGATGGACACCTGTGAGTTGCCGCGACACCTTGGTGCCTCCACGCTTGTGCCAGCCTCGCGCCGTTCGCTATCTCTCTCTCTCTCTCTCTCTCTCGACAACACTGCGGGCATTCAATCGTGTGGTTTGGGGTCTGGGCGCAGGTTTCAGGTACCTTTCAGGCGTGGAGGGCATTGGTGAAGGACATAATCGCTCTCGGTAAGGCCGGGACACGGAGACCCAAGCGGGCAGCCGACCTTTGAATTTGCCCAAAGATCGAAATTGGGGCGATCTTCAAAGATGCGACGTGCGTAGGCGCAGATCAGACACAGACAATTCAGCGCGTGCTCCAGGAGAACGTGGGCAATCCCTGGCAGCAGCCACCACTCTGGCCCATCGTGCTGTGAAGAAGGCACAATTTCTTGCTGACGGGAATATCGCCAGCGCCCCTCCTCCCAAATCCCCGATTTACGGCGAAGGACCGCGCGGGGGTCTCCACGGCATGATCAGACATCGCCCATTGGCGCCCTCCTGCGTCCATCACCAATCCGCCCGAGTTGGCACCGCATGACCCCAACCCCCAGCCCCCTCTCCCAACCTTTCACGCCCCCCTCTGTGGCCGTTCCCCAGGCATCGAGAAGAAGTCCACCGCCAAGCTGCAGGACGCTCGCACCGTGCGCAAGATCGTCAACGTGGACGACCACATCTGCCTGGCGTTCGCCGGCCTGACCGCCGACGCACGCGTGCTGATCAACAAGGCGCGCGTGCACTGCCAGAGCACGAGGCTGTCCCTGGACCAGCCCGCCTCGGTGGAGGGCCTGACCAAGTACCTGGCGGGGATCCAGCAGAAGTTCACGCAGAGCTCGGGTGTGCGGCCGTTCGGGATCTCGACGTTGATCGTGGGTTACGCCACCAATGGCGAGCCCAGGCTGTTCCAGACGGAGCCCTCGGGGACGTACTCCTCGTGGAAGGCCAGCGCCATCGGCAGGAACTCGAAAACGGTGGGGGTGCTGTGCCGATTGATTGGATTGCTAGGTGTGGTATTTGCTTGGAATGGAGAGCAAGGTTGGATTGCAGCTGCCTTCGCGTAAAAAGGCAGGGCACTTGGACCCACTAGGCGTTGGGAGTCACGCATGAGCATAGAACGTTTAACTGTTCTTCAGACGTTCACCACTCAGCATAACACTTGTTTTCAGCAACATGTGGCAAACGCATCAACCCACAGCTGCAAATGAACACCGCATTGTTCGTGTTGCAAACAACGTTTGCCTGCACTGAGCTGGTGGGGATGGGAACTGCTTGGTTGGAATATTGCGCGCGGGTCAGGGGTATTGGACCTGGCACCTTGCCGCAAGCAGTTAGGGTGCGAAATTGCCATTATCACCTCAACACCATGCCTGTGGCGAAGCACAGTGCAATGTCCCAAATGGAAAAGCCATGATACATGCAGACGCTTCAGCATCGACTGCACGAAACATCAGGGGAGCTGTGGGTGGGATGATGCAGTGCTGTCAGTTCTGAAATGGATGTGTGAGCTTACCTGGCACCAGTGAATCAATAATGATATTGCAGTGCAGCTGCCAGAGCTGCCACAATATTTCCACTACCAGATATCTTTGCCTGGGTACATAACCAAAATGCAATGGGACCATGAAAGGCATTATATGTCATGACGTCCGCAGTAAAAGTTCAAGGAGTCTGTGCTGCTTGGGGGGGGGAGGGGCCTCTTGGCATAGGCACCCTGATCAACACATTGCTGCATACATAAAAGTCATACCTGAGCATTGGTTGCTGCTCCCACACACAGCCCCATTGCAGAGTCACAGCCTGCCTTTTTTTGATCAGAATGGAATGGCAGAAGTCCACAACTCATGAGCGTCTGAGGCCCAAGGACAGTATCAGCAAGGCATGTTGACTGCTGTCCGTGGTTTGGCATGTGGCACAGCCTGCGCAAGTTTGCATCTTGCCCCTCATCGCCATGTGCATGCTTGGCATTCCAGTGTCATCTTGGGGAAGTGTTCGCAGATGATTTCAAGGAATATGCCCCCCCTGTCCTCCCCCCTCCTTCCCTCCCTCCCCCACACCCGCCCACCACCCCCAGCAATGTTAGTACTCAGGTTCCTTCTTTTGCAACAAAAAGTTCTGTGCTGATAAGAAAACCATTCCACCACTAGTGCACCCTTGTTTCCCTACTCTTGCTTCTGTGTGCCATTCTTTTCTCTGTAGCAGAGGAAATGAGTCTCATGTTCATTTGTCCAAAGGTCTGGCAGCCCTGCAGGCGAAATGCCTCAGATGAGACTGTTATCACGTGGACTGCTCACAAGCAGTGCATTGTCATCTGTTGACAAATGCAATCGAAAAGTTGATACCATGGGACTTGCATTGCTGACATCTGCATGCCCCACTTTGTGCCCCCAGGTTCGAGAGTTCCTTGAGAAGCACTACACTGAGACGTCTGGGCAGGATACTGTCAAGCTCGCCCTGAAGGCCCTTCTGGAGACCGTGGAACCAGGCAGCAAGACCATTGAGCTCGCTGTGATGGAAAAGGACACGGGCCTGCGGGTGCTGACAGATGAACAGGTTGATGCGCTGGTGAAGGAGATCGAGGAGGAAAAGGCAGCAGCAGAGGCTGCCAGGAGAGGTGGTGCACAGGCCAGGCAGACGTAAGGGCGGGGCAGGGCATTGCGAGAGGCTTTGGGGAAGCTGGCTGTGCTCTTCAGGGTCGCTGGCTGCGTGTGCACCAGCTAGAGGTCTTGATCTCGCACACTGCTGCAGATGAGCAAAGACGCATGGTGGCTGGGCACCATCGGGATTATTGGAAAGGATAGAGCCATGGGGTGCCTACTGCAGTCAGCTGGTCAACTGCCTGGCACTGATGTTGGTGGTGTAATAGGAATGGAGCACTGCCAATGGCAATGGCAGCAATGGTGCAAATTTCTGGTGTCGACACTGCACATCCCTTGCACAGGGAAACTTTGCTGCCATGCAGGTGTTTGGTGTAGAGGTGTTGTTTGGTCTACCGGTTGCCAATTGCATTTTAGGCAGATGGGCACAAGGGCTGCCCCAACTGTTATGCTGCTGATTTTGCACTGTATGGGTGGCCCAAGGCTAGCCTGTGTTCAGAACAGGCTGCTGTGGAACCATCTCTGCGCCCAGGTGCCAGATGCTGGTGGATGTCCAAACTGGCATAGTTCTGGTGCTGTGAACAATGGTTGTCAACTGGACAGCATGTTGACTGCACTTAACATTTGCAAGTCTTTGGTTACCCACACTACTATCCATGTGCTTTGGGTGAGGACAACTCAGGCATTTGCAAGACAATGAACAGTGCATGTGACCAGGCATACTGCAGTGCTTACAGAGCTTCCAGCACATTCTCTCATCCCCAACCCTGAGTCTGTGGAATAGAGGGTAAATTTCTGTTTAGCCCTATTGTACTTGCCAATCCCCTGCTAGCATCCACAACTCTGGTGATCCAAAAACCACAATGCCATCCATGACCCTGTGTATCCTCCTTATGATACTGACCTGCGATGCCAATGTGATGCATGTTTCAAGGCTGTAGTGCAGTGTTGGCACACCTACAATGATTGGTGTGAGAGGAGTTTCTTCAGGTGTGGAGCGGCGGTTGGCCAATTGGAAACGCTGCAAAGGCAGGTAGGTACGTTGGTGGCACAAGCGTTGAACCACCGCAACACAAGAACTGGAGGCATCTCCAGGATGGACAAAGGTTGGGACGAGGTTAGCAGTCGCATTCGCTCATTCCATTTGGACGAAATGGGGATAGGAGATAAAAGCTGCTGCTCTGCCTGGGGAAGATCGTGTGTCCGTCCATGGAGATTTAGATGCTTGAGTCTGATATGGCTGTGAACAACGATTGATGATGGACGTTTTCTGTGTTCAAAATTGGCATGTCATGGTGGTGTCAGTGTTGTCAACAACAACGTAGTACTGTCTGTGTGGTGACGTTGGTCACTTTGCAAGTTCGTCTTGGTGGTGGTGTTACATTTGCAATGCATATTGAAGTATTTCCAGCCCATTTCCTAATCTTCAGGACTATCTCCTCTCGCTGCGTATCCAGCGTCAATGTGTCAAGGCTCCAAACCATGCAAACATCCATTGCCGTTGTTGGTATCCACTTCTTCGCTTGGGGGGCAGTATGCACGCACCAACATTGGGTAAATGCCGCAGACTGGGTCTGGAGAGCCGAACACTGCATCCTTCGCTGAGGCATCAGTTCGCTCGGGCAAATGTGCCGTTTTGCAGAGCATTGCCATTGCAACCAGTCGCTTGTTCGCTGTCAGTCTTGGATGGTGACGCACCAGCCAAGCTGCGTGAGCTCTTGGATGGACTCGCTTTGTATGTACAGCAATTGCACACAGACACGTCTTGTCAAGTACGGTTCGGGTGGGCTCGACTGTATGTTGCGTCAAGCGCAAAGTCAGAAGCATCAGTTTCAGTTCAGTCCAGGCGGCATGGCGACCGTGCTTGAGACGTCCCACACGGCAACGTCCTATTCAAAATACGCCACCACCACAGCCCTCAATGCAAGCAGACAGCAGCGCAGAAATTCAATGAAACGTGAAGATTACTTGTCAGTTCCGCATGCCTCCCGTGTGGCAGGCTTAAGACTTTTGCACTGTGAGATGGTGTGGGAATCCTGGAAACCTGTGATGAGCTGACCGGAATTGGAATGACGCCATTTTGGTCGAAATGCCGACATTCTTCTCGCTCAACGCGACACCCCATGGAGTCGGGTCACACGCCGCAACCTGGCGCATCTGTGCATCAGCCATAACATAGGAATGCATCGGGACAAAGTGGACCCATAGCTACTTGCTGTTGCTGTTGCTCGGGATGCGCTGCATGTATATGCCAAATCTCTCAAAGGGCGTGAACAGCGTGAAACATCAAATGCGCTTTGGTATTTTCTATTTCTGAACACTGCACCTCATGGCAATGTGTGCTTGAAGCTTTCCTGATCCCTTGGTATGATAAAAACAATGATCGCATGCGCCGTTCAATTGCAGCAGCACCAAGCGCTGCTATCAAAGGTACAACGAATTTCTGAATTGTTGATCTGCTGGATGAGGTGCAATGCAACAATCTGGGATGGACTGTACTCAGTTTGGAGAGATGCATATCGGTTTCCTCGCAGCTACGTGAAGTCATCTTCTTGTCTGGACTTCACCAATTTGCAGCCTTTCGTTGCAAGGACTAAGCGGTCGCGGTGTGGGAGTGTAAATGCTGCCTTATGCTGATTCTGGCCTGATCTCAATTCGAGAGAATATACATCAGCTGATTTAGAATTCTTCCTGTGGATCTGGCAAAAGCTCACATTGCCACCATTGTCTGAAGCAATTTTCCAAGGTTTCATCGACTGCACATACAAGCCGGTCAAGCCGGTCACCGGACATGAACGATTTCTGCCTGTGTTTTAATCCTCGTTTAAATTACAATTGTCACGTGACAAAGCAATTACATCAACTTGGTGATGTCGGGCAATGGTCCAAAACACTGTGTTTGCTTGATCCCACAACGTTTTGAGTTCATTTCATGCCAGCCCAAAGTGTCGCCGGCGGACGAAAATGAGAGAGACACTCAAGGAAGTATGGATTTTTCTTGCCCTTTCATTTTGGCTTTATTTACTTGGGATGAATACTGAGACCCTACGTTCCAACCAAGGCAAATGAATCTCGGGTGCTCGCCACTCGCCTACTCCAGCCCAGCAGTGACTTGGACCCCGATGTGGGATAAACTTGACATGACGCTGACATGATGTGACCTGACCTGATGATGACGATGACCTGATGTGAATTTCTGCTGATAGTCTAACCAATATCTTTGATGAATTTTTCCAGTGATTTCGATGCGTATTCGCTTTCTGAATATCAAACCGGCGCGCCACCAACCACCTCAGTCAATTGCAGAACTCTTTTGCGATTATGCCCACTCTGCAATTCTAGTCCGAGTATGAGATACATGTTCTGTTTCGTTGCAGTGCCTGTGAATGAATACGATGAAGACTGCCAAGTGTAATACCAGTTGAGCGCCGAGTGCAGCATTCGACCACAGCATTTCGAATTCACTTTTTGTTTGTGTACCCGCTTGAGTGGACAATCGCTTTTGGGATGTCAGGAGGTGGTGGATGCTGACTT